GTTGTATTAACGAACTAGCGGAACCCGCAACTTCGTATCCATATAACTTTTTTTTTATAAACCAATTCAAATAAAACAAACACAAAATTTTAAGTGAATCTTACCACAATACATTAGTGTAGTAATTGCATTATGTGAGCATAGCGTGCACAAAGACACACACAAACAGTCAAAAATTCTAACAATCAACGTTTTGTGTTCTATTACGTCGTTTATTATGTCTTTCATTTACAGTCAGTTGTATTTTTATTGTGAGTATAAATATAAATATATATATATATATATTAATTAAATATATATTATTATTTGAAGCAACTAAATACTCTTGATATGAAACCTTTTAGTCACCATATTATTATATATAGTATATTTCCTTTGCCAACGTTACGTCTCGTCGCAAGCGCTTGACACGTCATTTTCCGAAGCCCTGCACCATACCTTCCCCATAGCAATTTTCCACCTTTTTGCTCGAGTACTATTTCACAACCCACCGAACTCGATACACTGTCGTTTAGATACTATAAGTGATTTATAGAATGTTTTCTATTTTTTTTCTATTAATATTTTATGTCCTGTAACTTGTTCATGTGCTAAAATTGTTATGATTCATAATGTTTAACCATTGAAAATACTGAACATCACTTTTTGTCATGCTACGAATACAAAAATATAGCTACTGATTTATGTTTAAAAATCTGCAGGTTTTAGAAGAAAAGATCGTATTCAAGTTCGGTTCAATCAAATTGAATCCAAATCCTGTAATCCACATAAAAATATAGTATAGAAACTGCAAAACTAATCAAACGGTATCCACGAAGCATCGTGGCCTGTCCGTTCAATTTCCGCTCAGATGAGTTTCTAACGCATTTAGCAGCTGTTCTGGAATCCCCTATTACACCCCCCGCTTCGAGGCAGTCCTGTAAATTGAACGATATGACAAGGTTAATGACCTATCTGGAGTAGTATAATGCTATGATCAAACTCAGTTAACTAACACCTACTTATTTCTTTGCAAATAATAATGTATAGTCTAATTATATAATAATCCGTATATTACATTTACTCCTACACTAAAATATAATTTATTCGTTACTTTTAGCGTTTGCTTAATTGATTATTACGATATTTACGTAATATGTGCTTAAATGTATTTTCTATTTAAAATGTATGAATATGTCCTCTACTTTAGATAATTAAGACAAACAAATTATTCAGTTCATCTTCTCGAGTGACTTGTCATCAATTATCGATAGATATATTCAGAAAGTTTGGAATAGGAATAAATTATAAGATTTATATTTCTGTTACTCTATACCTTATAACACTTGCTGTTTTCAAAGAATTTTAACGTTCATAATTGTGTCGAGTTTTTTTTTTTTACAAAATATAGTACATGTGTAAACATCAAGCAATCAGTTGTCCATTATCCTCCAAAAAATTTTTATTTAGACTTGATGAGGGCATGTGTTATATCTAGATTTATTTATCAATTATATTAACACCATTTATATATTAAGTGTTCTGAAATATGTGAAGAAAGAAAACCAAAGAAGAGAAGAGAGAAGACAAAGCTCATTGATGTGAAATTGACTCTAGTAGGGAGTCCGTTATTATTGCGCGACTCCCTAATCGAGTCAGGTTGACTTCTTTGAGGCTATCTCAACTACTTCAGAAGATAAGAAGGCAATGAAGAAGATTTCTATGTTATTCTACTGTGGAAGCGTGTAATAAAGAATTTGTATGTATCTACTTATCTATTGTTCGAAGTATATTAAATGTAATGTTTTTGTTATTGTGAAATTCATTTTTCTTTTTCAGGAAAAAATAATTTGACATATAAATCATGACTTTTTTTTATAAGTAGACGTTTAAAGTTATATTGAGAGACAACCACATTGTATGTAAATTTAATATACGGATTAATATAATTTAATATATATAAATATTTATAAAATAAATATATATAAAAAGGTGGAAAACTTTACAAAGTCATCTATACTTGGGTACTTATTTCACCTACGTCAGACAGCAACACCTTGCTATCAAACCTGTGTATCAGTTGCGGTATAACATTGAAATTACACAGAGGCATGACACCTTATTCATACAAAAGTTACGGAAGAAGCAACTTAGTTTATTTTTTGTCATAAAAAAATTCATAATACCATAAACTGTAATAGCTAAAGAAAAACATTTATGTTCAGTTTTAGTACAATGACAATTCAATTAAAGATATTAAAGATGTAAATGACAAAGATAGTACTAAATTAAAACAAACATATTTCAAACTCGACTTCATATAGGATCCCACTTACTTTGAGGTATTTGTATCTCGTTTGTACTCGTAAAACTACATACAAATACTACTGTTGAAAAAATATGTCAAGAACTATAGCACTTTTGTATTTTCTCTTCAAATAATTAAGTAGATCTATTATACTGATAACAAATTTGAAAATATCGTATCAACACATCAACTCATATTATCTGTGAGCGCGTAAATTAGGCTGATGCAAAAACGAAACGCAACTTTTTTTAATTTCGTTAAAATTTAAACGTGGCCTCTGAGGGTAGCATAGCAACTCAGCGAACAGTCGTATTTTTAATTTATTGCACTTCTTTGTTGCGGTTGTTTTATGTTGTAAATAACTTTCCCTTACTGCTGAATTTAATTCTAAAACTTGTAATATACCTACCTACTTACGAAATACAACAGCAAATAAATATAGCTACACTACAACAGCTCTGTCTACAATACAATCTCTGTCTTCCATGGAACATTTTTTGTAAGATATATTGCACATTATTTGTTACCGTTTGAGCTTTTTTGAAACCTCTACATATTTTATGTAAAAAGTCTTCTTTCTAACAGTTTTAAGAAATTTTTCTTTGCCCAAAAATAATGTATCAAATTAACGCAATTTTGTTAGAGAAATTATAAATACTTAATTGTTAATAATTTTTAATAAAATTCAGAAAGATTCAATATTGTCTTACTTGATATCTAGATATTGAAGTAAAAATAGTAGCACCCCTAAGTTTGATCATGTTTTTGTGTAATTTACTTGCTTGTAGTTACTGCCTACATACCTACTGTTTGCGAGAATATAGAAATTTAATGTTGACACAAAGTCTTTTCTGATAGATATTATTAAACTATAAAATAAACTCACTATAAAATATTACATAGCTTGTTAGCGACCGACAATGCTAATAAGACCTTTAATAAAAATATCATCGGAAAAATTAATATAAAATAATACTCTTCGAGACAAGGCCGAGACGCTCTCAGTTGAGGATAAAGCAAAGAGGATTGCGGCCATTTTGAATACGTAATAATTAAATATTTTATTTTCTGCTAGATAAATATCCTGGTGACTCGACTCGACTCAACTTCGATAAATTTAAACCTCCAACGTTTAATAAAATAGGTACGGGTTATATTCTGTATTTTCTTATAAATACCAAATATTTAGCTGTTATTATTAATGGTTACCTAGTTAATTAATTGAAATAGTGGTAGTTCCCTACTATTGTAATTGAATATACACTGGACACTGGACTATTTTCAAATTTGACGATTACTCAAGGGAACTAAACTTATTACTAATTTTGCACGCAGTAGATATTGCACATATGAATAGTAGTAACAATATTTACCATAAATGTTTGCAATTAGTAACAAATTTAGTGTATATTTATATACATATCTTTAAGACTAAAATAATTTTATAATATTTGATAATTATTTTCTTCATAATTTGTAAGTGACAACAGATTGAAATTGTATTGGTGTTTATTGTATATTTTCCTAGTATTTAGTATAAAAACTCCATACAATTGAAGAATTCCATTTATTTCTAATGAAATACCACGGGATGCAGCTATCAAACAGTTTACAGAAAGAACCCAATACATTTAAGTGTGGCACCACAAAATCGAAGCGAGCGGCGCGGTCCGTTGGGAAATTATCTGGCAACCCGAGCTATGTTCAACCGTCATACATAGTTACTTCGATAATGCGGAATATAATGGCACAACTTTGATACAGCAATGGTTCGAAATTGCATCTAGGAGGTAAATTCTATTGCGTCTCTTGAGAACTTTATAATATTACAGGCCACTTCCCATTAAGATACAATAAGCAGAATGTTTGTATCCGACGTTATTTTTCTAGTGTAGTACTCAGTTGTTTAACGCAGATATAAACTTTTTTTTTTCAGAAGTAGACTGTAAAAAGTGATTTGCGTGAATACCTCAGTCTCACATATATCAGCCACAAAGGAACTTGCTTTGTAAGCTGTATTTCGATTGTAGACTGCAGATTAAGGAATGAAATGAAAGAGCATAACATCTTAGTCCTCTAGAATAGCAACGAATGAGTGAGCATCACAAGTCTCGTATGATAATATGTTGTCTGTAATAACAGGTGACGGATGCTTATCATCAGATGCGCCAACTTGTATGCCATTAAAAAAATCGTAATATCGTGTTATCGTATTAATTACAATGACTGTTAAATCAAATTCTAACTAATAAGTTTAACAGGACCAAATACGCCTAAGAAGAAGATGCTAAGATGCCTAAATGAAGAAAATTATATTATCTCTTATAAAATCGTCTCTGTTATATTTATTTTCAATACTATGTATGTATAATGTATAATGATTGTATCCTAAATACAGTTTTACAGAATTTTAATCCTTAAAATTTTATTAAATCGGTATATAAACTAAACAAAACCTGTTGATTAAAAGGAATCATAATTGGAGCTGATGAAAATATTTAAATTCACTTCAAATGCTTAAAATTATTGTGACAGTCCTTCTGTATAGTTTAAAACTTTAATTCAAACAATGGAAATTAGAATCGAAATGTAAAATAAGTTTTTCCTTAAACTTGTATCCTTGTAGCAGAAAACTTACAAATATCCAAAAAGTATTTTAGTGACTAAGAAGTTACAGCGGAATACTCCAGAAGTACTGTATTTCTTTTTTCAGTACAAAATTCCCAAGAAGGAAGAGGTGGTAGAACAACAGCAGGCCGAGCCAGATAATCCATTGATGAGGAAGAAGAAGACACCTGAAGAGTTGGCAGCGGAGGCCGAGCTTGAAGATCAGGACGAATTCACTAGTGAGTATCCACTGCTAAAATTTAGTATAGACATATTCACTTACTGAAAAAACATTATATCTAATTAATTTACCCAACAACCTGTCATAGTTGAAGTTGTAGACTTATACGTAACGCAGTCCATACAAGTTATGGCTTGAGAATTCCTTATTTCATTGCATTCATGACTATTTAGTTTTTCTTATTGAAAGGGTAATCAAGCTGACGGTTCACCTGACGATAAGTAGGTAGTAACCGTCGCCTATATATAATCGGCACTATGACATCACATTATTATTTGATGCCCCTCACACCACTCATGCATTGCCACTCCAGAAGACTGAGATATCCTATAATTTCACTGTCTAATTAGCATCCTACAACCGTATCACAACATACAAAGCAAGCAGCTTGGCGCTATAATAGGCGTGACTGAACTTATATAATATAAGTAGACTTGATATAACTTTATATAAACTTTACCTAAATTATACTATATCGAACATTGTGGTGAAAATATCATTTTTAAATATTAATTCGTTTATTATGTATTACAGAATTGAAAAACACCATCGAAACGCAAGTGAATGAATTGAAGTCTCAGATTGAGAGTAAGTGCGTGATGCAGTGAACGTCGCCCCGGCGCCGTTTAATATATATTATATTTGAATACATGATGTAGCTGTGCTAAGATCATTGTTACGACGATGTTTCACAACCCGACACGATCACATCCACCCCTACCCGACGACACAACAAAATTGTTATGTTGAACTATCATTCGCGCTCAAACATAAAGTAGGAGAGATTTGAATTCTAAATTTTTTTGGAACGTAGATGGCTAGTGGCGCGTTGGTGCTTGATAATGAGCAATAATATTTTTATACATTCATAAAATATTGTGGAGATCAGCCCTCTATACAACTGTTGAAAAAACGCGTACGTGCGTTAGGTCAAAAAGTCATCGACAGCATTAAAATGTGAAACAATCCAGTTTTATATGTTGACGCTTGTGATATATTGTTATTTAAGTGTAAAGAGGAGTAATATAAATACAACTAGAACGAACGGTGTAATATTATTAAAAAGGAACATAATTGTATTTATAAGGGAGTTCTTAGCACGCGTGTATACTTGGCACTGACTATCTATCTCAACGACACTTCTCTCATCTATCCTCATCTTTCGGGTACAATTTCGGACTTACATTGAAATAACAATGTATTCGTTCACTATATATTTGTTTTCATCCAAATTCCACTCGGCTTGATGTGTCTTTCTGTCTTTACCTATATAGGAAGTAACGCCTCGTGTGGCTTCGCTCTGCGCTCTCTTTAAAACGACTTCAACTTTTGCCTCTAAATCTTTTGCATGCGTGCTTATGCATTGTATTGTGTCAATGTAATTTTTTTTAGTGTACATACCTATAATCGACCTAGCCTTAATAACCACATCGAAATAAATAGGTACAAGACGTATTGTTAATAATTAAATCCGGGAATCACGCGTCTTTTACGTACCCGCGTGTTCCCGAGATTTGTCATCGTTATTTTCTGCATGTCTATAATGTAAGATCAATGTTGGTTTAGATTAATGTAACGTGTAGATACACTAATACTTTGTTGTTTTACCGTTGAACCGTGTAGCGTTAATATTGCCGCGGTTCAGTTTACTTATATTAATGTTTTACGCTTAGATATAAAGTAACAAGTTATGAGAGCAAATTTTTCGAGCGATTGTCACTGGGTCTAACATTTTGACCGCGGAAAATATATGTGGATCATATGGAAAGCCAGAGGGAGAAATCAAATGCTGAAGAAGACTAGTTGAAGGCAGAGTGGATGAGTGGATAAGGATACTGCTTTCGCGGTGATGTTGCATTTCGGAGCGAATTGTTCGAAAAATCTCCACTTAAGCTGCAAATGCAAAAGATTTGTTATCGTCAAAAGCTGTGATATATAAATAAAATACAGTAACGCTGGCGAGGCGGCCGACCGCTCGCACCCTTCCATTCCCTTTAGCTTCTATAACTTTCAATCTATCTATACTATGAATCGTGTAACTAATTGTTAATTCGGTAGTCTATGAACTTTTCATCTTCTTTGTAGGCTATCTCTTGGACCGTTTCTCTATGAATCAGCACATCATGTATTTCCATTTTAGATTAAGATTCATTTGTTTGTGTGGCATTATAAACATACCAACAATGCTTGTTAAATAAACAAAAATACCGTATTATTTACTACATTAGTTTTGTATCGTTACTTGCTTTATCGAATCACGGTCAATTATGTATATCCTCAATCTATTAATTGCAAATTCAGATCGCGTATATAATATTCAATATACAAACTTATTATTAAGTAAATATGACAAAGACAACAATAATTTCTGATTGTTTACTGAAAATGCTATTTTCTGATGTATAAGATTCTATTTTCTCTCACTGTATCGCACATTGATGTCTATTTTCATAGCTTGTTTCAATAGAACTTTATTTTATGCACGCAATGCAAACATAGAAATTGTTTCTATATTAATATGGTTAATGAATAAATTATATATCTGAGATGGGAAAGCTTAATACGCATCCACCCGTCCGTCTTCATCACTTCTTGCAATCTTATAATCGTTAAGGTAACTTTAATATTTCACCGTGTACGTGTGGTTAGACTAGGTTTATGGTATATTACAAGAAATAGTTCTATATGTATGTGCATGGCAATTCTAGCTGACGGTTGTTCGTAGTTATTCGACTAAACAATAATAGTGGTAAGTCTTCACCCGATCTATATAATTTTACACGACCAATGTTTCATATTCTGACATCACTCATCTATCTTCTTATTAGAATGTACTCGATGTGTATTAGCTACTTCTATAACTACCCTATAATCTCTTAACTATCTTCGTCTATCGTTCTTGTTAGCAATCTAAGCCTAGTCTGTGCTCTCGTTGTTGATTTTGACTAGAAAATAGATTAGTAAATTATTTTGGTACGTAGTGAAGTCTAGATAATAAAACATTGGACTTAAAATCGCTGACTGTCACTAATTTAAAATCGACGTTGACAACTTGTGTATCGAATTGTTTGCATGGTTGAAATTAAGTGTAAGCTCTTGAGAAGTGTGCAGTGTCGTTTTCTCTTTATTCGTCCATATATTTTTTGTGTTCGAAAATACTATGCTACTATGTTTTGTTAACTGAGATATATGAAACTAAAACTATTTTATAATTATTATTTTTATACTTGTTAGTTACTGCGTTTCAACTGTTTAATTTGATATAAATTCAAATCAATATCTTCTATCGAATGCAAAAAATATATGAAAGAAAGTTTCTGGCTAATGCGGAAAATGCTTTGCAGGTTTTCCGAAGTGAAGGGTTTCTAAAAAGATAGGAAATCCATTTCAATAACTTTATTTCAATACTGTATTTAGACGCTTCATAAGCCATCTAAATGTCTGTACATGTAAGCTTTCGATGTTCAATGTATAGTAAAATATATAATTAGATTATGAACTTGCTTAATCGTGAATGTGAAGGAATTTGGGTGATACCAAATGGTTTCACTCAACCACTTTATCGGATTTTACAATAAATATGTTCGATGTTTGAAACTCTAGTGATCTAGTTTTTAACATCGAAATATTACATAATATATATTATAATAGTATTTACAAACAAAAAACACTAAACTGTTAATATCAGTGATATTATACCAAGTACACGTTATCTCGCCCATTGTCTTTCAACAAATAGATAAAAAATTATACACTAATTAATATTTATTGCAGCACATATTAATTATACAATATTAGTTTTCTTTATATATGAATAATCGATATCTAAAGAGGTTTATACAAGGTAGATGTGTAGCTTAGACGTAATTGCACCTTAAACGAAATGTTAACTAAAAGAAAAAAATACAAAAAAGATTTTTTTTTATTTACAAGTAGGATAATTTTAAGATGTTTAAAAGTGAATTTCGACCAATATAGATTTTTTCCTTATGACAAAGATATCATTTGATCTTATGATTCTCACACTCAGGGTAAATTATATGTACTGTAACTATTGTTGTCTATATGCAATATGCATATTATATATTTGTTCATTTACATAGATTATTTAGGATGAATGAATGACTTTTTGGCCTAAATGGCTGACTTCACTTCTTCAAGAGTGATAGGTTTCCCTTAATCCACATTCCTCCTTCCCTTTACCCTATGTGGTTTAAATTTCACTGTTGTTCTTGACCCTTAGAAGAGTAATGAAATGGTAGACTTATACACTTTAAAACATAACTTGTTAAACAATTTATTGTAAATTAGCTTATTAATAGTTGCACTAGGTATAACATTAGAAGAACGTTATTCGGATTGATGCATTTGTGGTCAGGAAGCAATTACAATGCCAACTTTCTTGTAAAGCAATATTACGAGAGTAAGGAATATTAACTGGAATATTACAAATACTGGGCTATAGTTGAATTCAACTATAGCTAAAGTATTGCGTCAACAAAAATACACTACATGGACGGTTTAAGCAAGGATTAGAGGCAACGACACTCAAAATACACTGATACAAGAGCTTTATACACATAATGCCAGTATTACTTCACATATTATTATTGTTAGTATGTTAATAGGTACACCAAACACGCAGTGGTGGTTTAATAAAGAACTGATTTTCAAGTGCCACAATTATCAATATAGCGCTTTGAATTTATTTTCATGATAACATACCCTGTGTTGTTGGTTGTACCTACTTTTTAATTTGATATGAACTAAAATGTTAGCAAAAGTTCAGTCGGAAAAATGGATCGGTGACACCTTACTGCCTCTTGAAAATCTGCCAATATTGTTGTGAACTATTTATACGCATCGATTCATTTAGTCGATTGGAACTATTGTTTGTTCAATAGGTTAGATATTGGCCAATCACTTATAGACCGTTAGCTTTTAATATTAGTGACATCTAGTGTTAAAATTGCAAGTTTTACCGAAATTGAAGTAAAAATTAAAAAAAAATGTGTAAGTAAATTTGAAATGAAAGTTGAAACCATTTAATGCATATTATGAACGTGGTTCATATGTATGTTGTATTGTTATTATAAAGGAGAAATGGTTAGTAGTTTATCCACGATTACCTTTAACTTAGAATTATGGATGAAAAACGAAAAACGGTTATTGTTGAAAATGTTTTTAGGTAATTAAATCGGATTGAGCTTTTGTGAAATCTTGTTGTTAAAAATAAGTTAGGTTTCCGTTTGCTATATTTCTGGCTGAATAAAAACTGCCATAATATTATAAATATATTATTAATCCTTAGTTTCCTTTCACAAAATCTATCCCTATCACTTGTGTAGTTTCTTAGTAGCTTATTTGCTAATACTTGGTTACTCTTACTGTTGCATCGCATTGTTAACTTTATTTACAAAATCCCTATTAGTTATGTATAAAGGTTTAGAGGTATCTATTTTCACAAGAGCTTGTGTGACTGTGAAAATGGTATATCTACCATGTTGTTAAATAATAAATAAACTACATTGTACCACCAACTATTTGTTTTATTTCTCTAGAAATTTCATTGAAACTAGATTAATAACCTAAATAGTGACTATCAACTTGATGAACAAACATACTAGCACAGCTTTACAAAGAACAATAAACATTTACTATTTTGATATTATTTATTAAGGAGATATACAAGAGAATAATAGGGTACATATAGATAATAATCCTCAATTTATTCATATAGGTTAATAAGAAAAAAGAAAAAAATAAGTATTAAGTCATCAAGTATCTTTCTTTTTGTAATCTGTGTATAGTTTCCGTTAAGCAAAGTGAAGGTATTCAACGAAAACCAATAATATGTAATAATGTAACATAGGTAGTACTAATGTGAGGGTAACTTGGGTAGCCCTAAATAAAAAAACTTCCATTTAACCTATTTCAGCCGCCAAGCAATTAACTTCATGGCTTTATAAGCTGTATGTATATATGTTGACGGGTGAGATATGGCAGTGATATTGTTGGGTACGAAGGCAAGATACTTACCTAATCATTACATACATACCGTACTAGCATCGCATGATGTTACTATCAGATGAACCGATAGCTTGTGAAGAAGATTAAAAGGTAATGTCATAAAAATATGAAGAAAGCAGGTGCTTCAAGTAATGTCATAATGCATGTACATGAAGTTATATCGACTTTTGCTTATAGACGTCTACAATAGTAGTTTGTCGTTCAGAAAACAGTGGCAATAAAAAAAATCCAAAACGTTATATTAATTTATTTTATATACACATAAACCTATTAGTAACAATACCTATAAATAAAAAATCACTAGTACGTTTATTTTATTGACACGTTAATCTAATAACGTTAAAGCACCCCAAAATCTATTTAAGTTTGTATTCAATTCTCCTAAAACAGAGAACATGTTTTCAACCGTTGTTTTTATAAGTCCATGGTTAGGATGCTCACTCAAATTAATGCTAGCTCCGTCATCAAATACCTTTGTTTTAACAAGAATCTGACCATTTTCTCCTGATTTATCATCTTCATTGTATTTGTTTTCATTTTGCAACTGTAATTCGTTTAATTGTTTTTGCATTTTATGTAAAATTTTCCAAAGTTTAGAGTTATCAAAAACGTCTGTGTCTATTTCATTAACATGGACTTTTTCTGTATCGTCTTTCATTAATTTACTTTTTTCGTTGTACACAACATTTCTACGATGCCTAGAGAGTTTTTCAGTATTTTTATCAGCATTTTCTATAGTAGGCTTCATTTTGTAGTCTATATTTTTAGAGGTTTGTTTAATATCCTTATTTTTATTGAACTTTCTAATTCCATCCTTCCGTTTTTGTTTGTCCAACCTGTTATACTTGTGATTATGCAATTTCTCACTTAATGGTAATATATTACCTATTAGAGCTTTATTTTTAAATTCGTCCAACATTTTTTTTATTTCATATTTAGGTTTTATTATATGTTTCTTAAACTTTCTATGTTTTCCTTCATTTTCTTCTGAATTTATCTGACGCTTTTTCCGTAAGTTTACATCGATTCCTTTCTTTGCGTTAAAATTATGTTCAAATAACTTACGAACTTTTTTTAATTCTATATTTAAATCTTCTATTCTGTTCTTGATATCCGCATTTTCCATATCAAGTGGTATCTCATCATTGTCAGAAAAATCTTCAGATATCTCAGTAATATTCAAGTCATCAAAATCTTCTATATTAATTGCGCGTTTTTGTATTTTATTTGTTGTAGCGTTGTTAATATCAGAAACATCTACAGCTTCTACTAATAATGTATTATTAGAATTACTTGCCGTATTATAGCAAGCATCAACCTTAGTATTGGCTAATACCCAAAAACCGAAGGATTTCGGAGGTAAGTTAATTAGCAGTGTCTTATAGGGTCTCACACGTTTAACTATAGGTTTTATATCTCCCTCGTAATACATTGCACGGCCATTGACCACGATATTTCTGCAAAATATATTTTGTAAAATGTTAAGCTTCAAAATATATAAATTGAAAGAGAATTTAAAGGAGAAGGGAGCGCCATAGTCTGGTACTTTACTACCCCCATGGTTAGTGGGCGTGAGTTCAAAACTGGACGACAAAATCCTTGTGTATCAAATTATACTTCCAATTGACTTTCTGGTGAATCAAACACCGACAATAAGATCAACAAAAAAACAACACTTAATCCCAGAGATGTCGGTAGGCTAACTCCCTAATGCCGCCGCCGCAATGACGCCGCCGACGAACTCAATACTTAATATTTTATTTCATAGATTCATGAAATAAAATATTAAGTATTGAGTTCGTCATGATTTCGATAATTGAGATTGCCTCTGACTACCGTAGCCAGGCTAATAGTCGTGATGGTATGTATATGTGTATCAGTTAAAGAAGTGTTAAATGAAAATAAACTAGAAAACACTTTAAATATACCTAATATTAGACTGCGGTGAGTTATTTTTCTAGATTATTATAATAATAGTTACCCGCTCTGATCATGGCCAAGTATAAACTGCATTACATCGCCACCCTCTTCTCGCTTTGATAATTTGATCGAGAATCTTGCTGGTTCGTCTTCCATATTCACTGCATACAAAGTCACCGCGCCGTGCACTGGTTTATGACGAAGCGATGTACAATGTGCAAAAATCACAGCTTGAGAAGATTCCACTTCTAGAACTCGCTCACCAACGAGGTTTTTAAACAAGAGAGCCATATAAAAACTCTGAAATAAGTAAAGTGCATCAAGTCTGTGTATCTACATTTACAAATACTGAGGTCCCTAATGCCGGTCCTTTATATAGTTCTAGTTTAATACCTGCACTTACAGTTTTAACCAAATCCAAACTTCTATTCTAACACTACAAATACAAAAATGTTTAAATGACTAAATAGATGCTAATTAAATTTCACATGAAGAGAGATTTTACCACGAGAAATTATACAAGTGCCCTTGTATAATTACTCGTGGTAAACCTATCTTGAATCTAAAAATAATCTAATCTAAACGAAATCGCTAGTAACAGCTAGTATGAGACAGACCGGTCGTAGTTTATGTTTTATTATTTGATAATGCAATTAATCTTACCAATGTTGGCTCGAACAATTCTTCTTTCAAGAGTTCCCTATAATGTACTGAGAAGCCATTCCTCGCTGAGTAACCGAGGCTGGCCATCCAGTTTGCAGCCCGCTCTAATTCATTATGCTGACGCCTCGTGATCTCTGTAATCCAGAGTGGTGTATCACTTTCACTCAGCAGCTTTAAAAGCTTCAAGCGGTCGTATTCTGACATACGTTCTAGTTCGTGAGAGGACGAGTTACTGAAATTGAAATTAAATATTTTTTTATCCAAACACAAATAAAAAAAATAACAGACTGGATAAAGGCTCTAAGCAACATTATGAGCAATATCAAACATGAAACATGAAATTCAAGGTCTTTCAACCTCAATGGTAATTTGAAACTATTTTATAAATAAGTTATCAATGCCTTGATGTATTTAAAGCAAATATTAAATAAAAATGTATAAAGACATCATAATGTAAGTTAATAGTCCAATTTCTGTGTACCTACCATAATGTAGGAGATATCGAATGTTTTAAAACTTCAACCTATCTATTTAATATTAGTACTAAAAAAATATATATTAAGGGAAAACTCACCTATTAAGTAAAACAGCATCCAGCATATCAACAGAAAGGGTAACATAATCCTTAAAATCGCTTTTGGATTCAGCCTGGAGGCAATTAGTGACATCGCCACCGACAACTTTCCACTTATTTTCTGATCCAGATGGGAATGTTTCGACTATCAGACGCAGAGTCTCCAGGTCGTTCAGATATTCTTCGATTGATTGATTATTACATTCTATAACAAAAACGTCAATATGAGATAATAAAAATAAAAATCATTCGCAATCGTCGCCTATATATAGTTATTCACGTCTATACAGACGTGAATAACACGGATATCTCGTCGCCTCACGAGATGCTTTTATATATATTTTTAATTGGTTTACATACACGAACAGCATTACAAACATCACGTTCTCATGTGAAAGATGCTTTACCATTTCGGTAGACCAAAATGTAATGCCTCCTAAAGTGTAATTTCGCTGCCTTATCTCAACCTTCAATAGTAACACAGTTTAAAAAACTAGCGACTTGACGGATAGGTAACACTGAGGTACTCATGCAAACGACTTTTAGTCGGTGGTAACCCTGATTGCTATTCTTATAGACTAATCTAAGTAACTATCCCTGTAACTACAAAACAAGCTGATTGATGATAGAAATAATAACAGAGAAGAAGAACCACGCAGGTGACATTGTACTGAAAGTTAAATATTTACATACCATAACCCAGTTGCCAGTACATTTTCCCAACCTTGACCTTCTCAGCTACAGTAAGTATGTCCAGCGCCGTGTTCGGATCCCACATGCCTGTCTGCGTCTTCACGTCATTGTTTAATGCGAACACCAATTCAAATCCTGTTGTTTTTGCCCATTTAGCAAACTGTACCCATTGATTGCTTGAGACTGTCACTTTTTCCTACAAAATAAATTACCTATTTTATTATATTTACCACAGATTAAATAACTACAGTATTATTATATCATAGTCTATTGAAATATTATGGTACCATACACGGATATGAATATATGAATTTATTTTTAGTATATATCCATCGCGCATAATATAATGAAGAAACAGAGTTATATAGCTATGTCATATACATCTAAACTTTCTTCAGAAATTTCTCTGCAGATAGATTAAAACCGCATGAAAATCCGTTCAGGAGTTTTTGACATTAGTACATATCAATACACACACACATGCGGCGGAGTTATTATTAACATATACATTAATTAAGTATCAAATTATAATAATTTTACCCGAACTTGACGTTTTATTGTAGCGCTACGCCGTTCTAACAATTTGTCCAGAACATTCCTGTGGTGTTCAAGATCGAGATCCACATCAAGGTCGTTTGGTTCCAGATCTTCGATGGATATGCTACTGTTGCGAAAGCTCATATAATCTGTAGACGGTCCAGCTATACGGAGATATGCTGGACTCAGTGACGTAGCCATACAAAGGCATTCTTTGCTAGAAAATAAATTATAATTATAAAAACTAACATGTTTACAATAAAAAACAAATATGTTGTTCTTAAAGATGAAGATGTATTAATACAACAAAAAGTATCATTAAAATCAGTTTTTACTATATGTAGGTATACTAAAAATGTATTAATTAATTTCACACAAGAGAACACAATAGAGTTATAAATTAAGAATTAAGAAATTTGTTATTTGAAGTTAGTTTATTATATGTTAGTTGATTATTCCTTTTCTTTTATAGTCGTTAGACTCTACGACCTGTACATAATAATTTTACCACTCAATTCTTTGAAAAAAATATATTGTATAATGACTTACAAATGCTAAACAACAATATTGATGCAATATCAATATCATTAATAAATTAATGTAGGTATTCTATATACTCCAAATGCAAATGATTGAGAGAGCATACAGTTTAGGTACCCCGCACCCACAGTGTAGAGTACAGTAGAGGAGATAGCCGAGTTGTCTAGCGGTCTAACATACCAAAATTAAAAGATTATAAATAAAAGTAAGTACAAGGCGGTATTATCGCTAAATCAATCTCTTCCAGACAAGCATTATTAGCTATAATGAAAACTATTAAGTAAACTTACCTGTTATACTTATCAGTGTTCGAAAAAAGATATTTTGGATCAACAGTGAAACTTAAAAATTGTTTATCAACAACATTCACATGTTGATCTGTCCCTATCTTCACACTAAACGTATGGGCACTGGCTAGTTTTAATATTGATGAAACTGAATATAATATAAAATAAAAATATATGTAATCCATTGTGCGTATTATGTTGAAATGTGGACGACTGAACTATAATTACATATTTATTTACTCATAAGGTGGTATTATGTTACGGTAAAACTTATATTTTATTTTTCATTCCTCAAATATTCTACTTCACGGAAATTTGTACCTATCTTAAATTTCTACACTGTTATTTAATTTAAGTCAATATCTTACATGATCCAATAAAAGCCCATGCGTTATCGCAAGTGTTTGAAAAATAAGTTCAAACGGTTGCTCTATGTTAACAACGCATAGTACGACATTGAAGTATGGTGACAAAATCAAAGTTAAGAAGATGTACTTATTTTTACGGTACTAATGGCTAACTATTTCTTGCTTATTCGTAGTTGGTAAGAAAAGACAACATAGTGTAATAACTAAAACAGATTTTTTTAAATTTGTTGTTTCAAATAATGAGGTAACATAACATACGTAGATGTTAATACCTACTCATAGTACTGGTACTAGTAGTAAGTTCTATGAATTATTACATCGTATTTAGAATTAATTATTAATAATACCTATATCCACCCATAATCTATTATGTACAACATATAAGAGAACTAATGCACTTCTTTAGTGAAATGTATTTATAGTTATTATAAAGTAGGTATTATTCTAATATTGGAATTATCTTAATTTGAATACAAAATTATGTCACGGGTCACAAACAGGTGCCAGGTTGCCAATAATTTTAATTTAACCTTTAGTATATCTTCATTACTTATTTATGGACAATTTGTAAAATTGTGTTATTGTCACGCCAACAGTAACGCAAAAAAGCTGACTTTAATTAATATTGTAAATTGCTGAACACGGATCATTGTTTCTTTTGATGCACGCATTCGATTGTTATTAGTGTTATTACTCATTAGCAGACTACTGTTTATACGTTATATAACACGTATGACCTTTTAATGGAATTCCGCATAAAATTCAAACTTAAAAGGCCTATTTGCCTAATCTCATGGACAACTTGTAAATGTTCCCATTATAACTGGCTGGAAAACATATAAGAAACTGTCCTGAAAAATTCGAATACATATATTGTTCTCGTTTTTACACAAGCATTGCAAAATGAGAAATCAGAATTGGACTCGAAGTTATATTAGAATATTTATGTAGCTTTGGATTGTTACAATAGTGTAATTTTTGGAATGACTGACTGACTTTGGAATGACTCTCTCCTTATAAGTAGCTGACCTATATCTGTAGTACCTAAAAAACATCTAGTACCTAAAGTATTTCTACTTGTTAGTTGTTCTAGTTGTTTAGTACCTACCTACCCGGTAGGTACTAGGGGGAGAAGGGGATTGTTAGTAATGTTTTATTTATTTATTTATTTATTTATTTATTTATTTACTTAATACAGAAAACATGTGTACTACTTTACTAAAGAAACGATGATATTCACAGAAGTATAAAACTGTGTTGCAAATATCGACGCCCTCCACCTAGTATATATAATTCCAAAAACTAAAATAAAAAATAAAAATACATGCAATGTCGTTACCCATCACGTATTGTCTAAAAAATTTACAAAATATTTAAATTTACCAAAAACAAAGAAAATTTAACTTATAAACAAAAAGAAAGAATGCACAAAACAAAAAGAACCTATGCCTGTATTTGATATGTATATATGTAAAACATGTGTGTGTGTGTGTGTGTGTGTGTGTGTGTGTGTGTGTGTGTGTGTGTGTGTGTGTGTGTGTGTGTGTGTGTGTGTGTGTGTGAGAGAGAGAGAGAGAGAGAGAGAGGTCTGACTTCATATACATTATTTTTGAAATTACAATATTTACGCAACAAGTCAAGTTAATAAAGTTTTAAAAGATCCTCAGATTTTTCATACCGCCATTTTGCGTACAACAGCTTACATTTGTAGTAGGGGATATATGTTCAATTCTTTATTTAGCTTATTATACAAAATCCACGTGGTTATAATGACGACTAAAAAAAAACGACAAGGATTTAACCATATTTTATAATTTCATCTCAAATTTGTCATTGAAACATATGGAACATATGGAAGCTGAGAATGTTTACGAAGCGTAATGTTTAGTACAAATGTGGATTGATAACCCCATTGCTAGCAATGTACCATGTCAGGTCGACCTCCACGCGGTTCCCCCTGGAAACCATCGTGTTAAATTCCTGGTAAATTTGTCACGATGGGCTAATTGACCTGACCTCATGCTTATCTTATCATCCTCTACTGATGCCCCGCCAGCGTAAACCGTTAGAGCAGGCGGGTGCACCATTCCATTATCATCCACAAAAACCCGGTAGGTACTAGATGACTAATAGAAATACTTAAATACATTTTTTGTATATACATAATACAATAGAAAACGCCCAGACTAATATAAACAACCGTACTAATGAATACAAATATTTCTAACTTACGAGGAATCGATCCTACAATTAATGTAAATAAGGCGGTGTGCATAACCGCCAGACCACCGAGGCCAAACGATTTTCTTAGATTGAAATATAATTGAAAACTGTCATAGCATGACAATTCTTATAGGTAATAGTCTCCTATTTTGCGACTCGCTATGGATAGTTATTACAATAATAATAATAGCCTTTATTTAAAAAAATCTTACATAATATTTATTATAATGTTATCTGGATAATCATTAATTATATAGTTTCAAATGCGAATAATCCAAGTTAGTTTATGTAAAATCGGAAAAAATAGATTTTAGCCTGAAGTCAATATTTAAAGCTACTACGTTTTATTATACTAAAGTAGGTACACGCGAGAATTTCATAATGAAAATATAATGAAACTAGGTAATACCGGTGGGAGGGGGTTGTTAGTAATGGATCGATCCCCAAGGTAACTAGCTGGTTAATTCCTAGTGAATTCCTTACTATGGGCTATCTGCGTAACTTCATCTGCTGATCCCATTATCCTCCACTGGTGCCTCACCAACATATAGCGCAGGCTAACATATATTATCATCCTTTCCAAAACTAGATAATACCTAGTTTATTCTATCTGTTGCATCGAAACCTATATACAATAGTGTATCATTTTAGAACATTTATTTGATATAATAATAAATAATTGCTTTTTATGCATATTCAAAGTTGGTATTTTTAGCGGATTGTCAAAATATGACAATTTGTGATTTGACATTTCATGTCATTTCATGACACTAATTGTCATTTAATCCTTGACATTAGTCATCAGAACAGAACTACTAAATCAACATAATGGGTCTCAACAAAATCTAATCTTTTGCGAATTATCTTATTATCATTGTACCATTCGCCAATATTTGGGCCTACTTGGTTAATCTGTTTTAAGTGCCGCAACAATGTCCAAACGCGATAATCCGTGCCTCCATTATAATAGTATTAATTTCAACTCAAACTGCTCCATCAGTATATCATGTTTGTTATTATAATTTTTTATGTTTCTTAGTGACAATGGATACTGCCAGTGATAGTAGTGATAAAAAGGATGACGGAAACTCTCAGAAAAAGGAGCTGCCATCAAATTTACAAAAGATATGTCTGGTGTGCGGTGATAAAGCACTCGGTTATAACTTCAATGCCATATCGTGTGAGAGCTGTAAAGCATTTTTCAGACGGAATGCTTTAGCCAGCAAGGAGTTTAAATGTCCCTTTACTAATAACTGTGAAATTACCGTAGTCACAAGAAGATTCTGTCAGAAATGTCGATTGGAAAAGTGCCTGTCAGTAGGAATGGTTAAAGAATTCATCATGTCTGATGAAGATAAAGCAGAGAAACGGAGGAAAATAGAGGAGAATAGAGCTAAAAAACGACATCACAGTGATCGTGATATTGAGGATGCAGTATCAAGCTCTAAAAGCATGAAACGTGATGATGAAATAAGCAATAGTAATTATATACCACCCGTCCAGGAGTCAGTTGTACAGTATGACGCACTGAATAGTACAACTAGTAGTCCAAGTAGTACTGTGCAGAGTCCATTAGGTACAGATTTAGAGTCACACACAATACACCCCTCTGCCTACTATACACCTGTACAAAATGCAGATGTGTCATATACTATGAAGGTGTTTCCTATAGAAGACAAAAATGGAATCAACAGGACTTTGTATGAACAACATATACTGAACCCATATCAGGCATTTGATATGGACAGTAATATGTATGCAGAGACTCCTAAACAAAATAGCATTAGGTATGTACTATTTTTCTTTTGATTGTTACTCCTTATTTTTATTTCCATAAAGGTGAAATTTACATTACATAATTAAACTAAATATTGCAAAGTTTCCCCACAGAAACAAATATGTTAAATTTTTGAAGAATTTGTCAAAATTGTCCTCCACTAGTTCCTTACTAGCATAAACTGTCAACGCAGACGGATACACTGTTCCATTATTATCCATTAAACAAATTACTGACTAAATGAGCCATTGTTACTGAAAATTTAAATATATAATAAGTACTTATATTAAAAATATAAATAAATATATTGTATGTTATTTAAGTTTAGATAAATTCTCTATATTATGTCATATCTAAAATACCTTTCTCAAGATATTATCTTTTATCTGTGTTTCTTATAACAATGTTTATGTATATATACTCTCACTCTTAGGACACCATTTTTTTCTGATTATTTATTAGCACTTCCACCATGGAAGTCTGTGTTGATTGTGGAAGAGCATGTATATGATGGATTTATTGATATTAAACACAATAATAACAATGGACAAAGAGCTTATAGACTATATTCATTTTATTTTAATAACAATAGTTTTTTTCATGCAAGGATCTAATGAAAAGTAAGTGAAATTCATATTGGACACCCTTATTCTTGATCAACCACTAACATGACATAATAATGACATATTTAACATACTTAGGTCATTAAACTTAATTTTAAGGGCTAATGAACTTACCTATTTAATCATTAACTATACAAAACAACCATTGATCTTAGTCAACTCACCCTATTGGTCATAGTCCCATAATGTAAGGATGTATATAATATAGTTCTTTTTACAAAATTTCCAGATCTATCCTAACAAATGGGGATACTGCCATTTACAAAGAACATAAGCCTCAGCACATTTGTGAAGAAATGCCGTCTACCAGCAATAATCCTGACATAAACAAGGCTAGAGATATTTTACAAGATGTTGAAAGGTACTCTATGTATATAATCAAAACTGTGCCTGATGTATATATGTAATTGAAAGATATATGACAAAAACATTTATTGAAGACTCAACACCAAAACAATTTTTAGTCTATTTATCTGCATGTTTGTGCAGAATCATCACAGAAGCAGCTTAATGATATGGATGCAGTTTTTACTATTATGTTGTCATAAGCTTCACTTAAAATTAGTGTTTTGTTAATTAAATAATTATTTACTTACTAAAGAATTATACAGGTATAACTATGATGAAGTTCATCTAGTAGAAAATTATTCATAAATTCTGCTTAACACTAGCAAATTCATTCATATGAATTGTAAAACTGCTGCAATTTATATATATTACTTTAAAATAACCTTACTATACCTATAAGGTTACACTATTAAAATGGGGAAGAAGGGGATTGTTAATAATGTGGAATAATAACCCTATATATCTGGCAATGTACCATTTCATGTTAACCACCATGCGGTTTCCCCTAGAAACCATCAATTGCCATCAGCAAAGAAGGGTTAACTGACCTGACTTTATACTCATTTTATCATCCTCCACTAGTTTTCCGTGAGTGTAAACCATTAGCGCAGACGTGTGCATCATTCCATTATTCATATCCATAAAAAACTATTATAATGTTATACCTTTCTGACACTAATTAATACTAATAATGAAATTGTAGTTGCCAATATTTCATTATATATTTATTTTTCCACAGGATAGAGCCCAACTCTATGGAATCAATACTGTGTGAGGCAATCAAACTTGAGTTTGAGGCATACACATCTGTCAATCAATGTAGCGGCTCCTCCAGAGAACTAAATGAGGTATTTATTGGCTTTACATTATTGAAATGCAAAGTTTATAATTGTTTATACTGAAACTTTATGAAGGTTTTTATGCAAATTTTATTCTGAGTATCTTACACTTTTCTCCCCTCAATAAACATAATTTTACTACATTCAAAATACTTTTTTATTATGCAATTAATACATTTTCATTGGCAAATTTATCGCGCGAGCATTAAATACTAGTTGAATGAAAATAAGTAAGTAGTATTACTAATCGTGAGTTTGTAGATATGATTATAATTTGTTTGCATGAATGATAGCCGATTAGAACATTTATTTACTTCTACATCTCCACGAATAAGGTTGATATTTATAACACTCATACATTCTTGATATAGACCAGAATCATACATACATCCTCAGTTCTCCTTACTAAAACTGGAACTTCTTAGACGATAAATATTATAGACTATCTGACCATATTAATTAAATTAGTGTGTTTCTCCATCTGAAGTGTCTTGACGGCCTCAGTGGTCTAGCAGTTAAGCACACCGCTTTACTTCCCATGGTCACAGGGTCAATTCCTCGCACAGTGCAAACATTTATATAGGGTGTTTTTGTGAATATTATATTATATTATTTATTTAGTGTTAGTGATACATTGTTAGTTGATTTCATTGATCAACAAGGATCAACTTTATTTGCACCTTCTTTGCACTTAACATGTCACTATATGTTTATGACCTAAAAACCGATAGGTTTATCAGCGTGCATAAGGAAATTTGATAAATAAAGAAATCATTGTATAGATAAACTTTAGCATATTGTACTCTGATAGAGGCAATGCAACTTATCAACGATTAAATAAATATTTTTATATTATTAAGATAGTGCGGTAGTAGGTAGGATTGTAGACATAATAAATATATAAATGTGGGATTGGTATGTAAGGGAGTAAGGGGACTGTATTAACTGAATGTTATATGCATGAATTTAAACACAAATGACTAGAGAATGAATATAAGAGTCAAGTGAATAATGAATGGGTTAAACGCTATGACACAAATGGTGTCCTAACTGATTTATTTGTAAATGTTATATTTGACGAATTAAATTGGTAATGTAAAGAGATTTTATTATTCCGACTCCCCGGACGTACATAAATAATATTTTTAATGAACAACAATATTGCCACAGGTTATTGTTGTGTCTTGTGTCACCCTTTAAAAACAAATTAATTTGGTCTTTTCAGGTGGAACGCGCAAAATTGAATGAACTGATTGTCGCAAATAAAACATTACATGCCCCTATTGATGATGACTTATCACAGCTTATAGGTGACGCCAGCTCCGCCGGACTCAAGGTTAGTTAGACTATGGTTACTATCAGCATCAGACTTGTGATTAAAGCTATGTCACACTATGTCACTGTACTCCTCGTTAAACTGTAATGCAATAATATATGTTATAATAATAAGAAAATATTTGAAAAGAATATGAGCTGAGTTTCTTGTCAGTTCTTATCTCGAAATCATTCCGAACTGACGGTAGATTTAACATATCATAAGAGTCTGTAATAGATATTTTGATTTGATTGTAATATAACTGAAATAAATAGACGTGATGATAAGTGTTAATTTTATTATTTGACGTCCTAGGTAGCCTAGCACTTTACAACACGGCTTTTTTTCCGATGGTCGTGGGTTCAATTTCTCGTGCGGTACAAACATTTGTATTCATGAGTATGATTGTTTGTGTCGGTCTGGTTGTTTTCTATGTATATTATGTATGTAGTTACAAAAAACTATCTTATATCACTTGTCTAGTACCCATAAAATAAGCTTACCAACACTAGACGGCATCGTGTTAATTGTCTAGGGTTATTATTATGTCTGATACATATTTGATTTAATATGCTTCTAGATCCATGTGTATATGCAGAGCGTTTTGTCCGTTATGTGTTGTTTTTTTTATTAAGTATTTAATATTTTTATTGAGTATTTCCTTTAATATATATAAAAATATTTGATTAATTGATTGCGTACATTTTGTATTTTTCTTATGATAGGAAGGCGACGGCAAGCACGATCCAAGACTGATAAAAATAGTAAATCTGACTGCAGTCGCAATACGGCGGTTCATAAAGATGGCGAAGAAGATTAATGCATTCAAAAATATGTGCGAAGAAGATCAGGTCAGTCTTGTTTTCTTCAGTTTTTCAATAAATCTCGTAATCCGTATTTCATAGTTTGCTAATATGAACAAACTGAATTGTACAATATTGGAATAATTGAACAAAATGTAGTTGTATTAAAAAAATAATACTTATTTATTAAACATAATTAAGAACCAACCGCGTAAACCGTAAAACTTAAGGGCTGAATTTAAGTATGTCTTGATTGAATAAGCCACTTTCATTAAATTTACCCCTTGATCCAAGGAAGGATTTAGCAGGTACATAAATAACTCATTTTTTTTATAATATTTTATTATTAGGTCGCTCTGCTGAAAGGAGGATGTATAGAAATGATGGTGTTGAGGAGTACGATAAATTATGATGGCCAAAGAAAACAGTGGAAGGTAAGAAAAAGAATAGTCTCAGCAAAATTAAATTGTAGCATATGTATACATTTTTTTATAATAATAATGTCTCAGGACAATTCACAGAGCGCCATCTAGTCTCAAGCTAAGCAGAGCCTGTGTTATGGGTACCAGACAAGTTATACAAATATTTATTTTTAGAAATACATTCATATATACATAGAAAACCTTCAGAAGGATAAAAAACAATCGTATTGATGAATACAATGTCTATACTGTGCAAGGAATCGAACCCGCGACGATCGGAAGTAAGGCAGTGTGCTACTAGACGTCCATCATCGAGAATACTTAGCAACAGTATGTTTTCAGGTTCCCCACTCACAAGATAAGTTTGGTAGCATACAAACTGATCTCTTAAAGTTAGCTAAAGGCAATATATACAGGACCTACGAGTCATTTATACGGTCATTCGACCACCGCTGGCGGTTGGATGAACACGTAATACTGATCATGTCCGCCATATTGCTGTTCACGCCTGATCGCGCTAAAGTTGTGCACCGAGACGTTATCAAGTTAGAACAGGTAAGTTTTTCTCCTAACAAACCCTTCTGATTAATACCCTGTCCTATTCTAAGATTGAAATTATGACGGCCTGAGCTGTGGTTCGATTCCGATCAGATTTGAAGTGTTACGGCCAATAGCATTGGAATAGTTATAAAAAGGCTCTAATAAAAATATTAACTGACACCTATAGTCTAGATTAATATGATTGTACTTAATAATACAACCAGTGTGCGACAATAGTACAGATAATTTAGCTTTATGTAAAGCATAATAAATATATGAATATAATATTTGTTAATTTAATTTGTCAAGTACTTTTAGAATGTATCCATTACAAATAAAAATATTAATCTTCCCTCTTTATTATGATAAAGAGAAAAGTATACGATACTTACTTTCAGTTTCAAGTCTCTAGTAATATTTTACTAGAGACTTAACTTTAAAAGTATCATATCTGCATGGCCCAAATGACCTTACATAATATCCCTCTATTAAATTTTATGCACTTATTGCAATATATGGACATAAAGTAAAATATGACATGCATATTTTTTGGAAATAAGACTTTATGGTATGTTAAAATAAAGTCTTATTTGCAACTTATTATCTGTAAAAGTAATTAAATAATAATTACATATATACAAAACTCTACTGTTATATATTTCAGAATTCCTACTACTATCTACTACGAAGGTATCTCGAGAGCGTTTACCCTGGCTGCGAAGCAAAATCTACATTCCTCAAACTTATACAGAAGATTCTAGAACTCAGGAAGTTATCGGAAGAAGTCACTGGTGTATACCTCGATGTTAATCCTATAGAACCATTACTTATGGAGATTTTCGATTTGAAGCACCATGCTGCTTGAGGGTAGGTGTATAATTTTCTCCTAAACGTTGCCAAATAGGGTTCATATTGCTTTAAAAATAACTACACAACATCTTAATTCATATTGTTTTTATTTTTTGAAATCTCTTGTAACAGTCAAAACCTTTTTAAGTTTTAACAAACTGATTGTACCTACAATTCTTTTATTCATAAAAAGGTGTAAATCTATAGACAGAAACAAGATTCGTGGAATATTAGAGTATCACATATCTAAATGTGTGAAACATTGTAATAATGTACTTTCTAACTATAATATTATTAGAAGCACATTATTACAGAGTCGAATGTCACGACGCAATACGGTACAATATACCATTTCTACCTCAATACATCTTATTTTTAGCAAAATTCCTACAAAAAAAGAGTCGAGGTGTATTAATGATTTCGTCTTTTTATGAATAACACCGTTGAAATGTTTATGTCATTGAAGACATCAGTAGAGAGCAATTTTATTTATTTCTGACATTGTAGACAATTTTAGATTATAGACCATATGTTACTCGTATAATTTTTATCTATATATAAATATTGTTTATGGTAAAATGTATTTTGAGTGCAATGAAAGGGGAACACTTTTAATTGTAAATAGACTATGTGTAGTACTTGGATATACAGGGTCTGTACTAGTTTACTGATGTATTCTGAATGCGAAATGAACAGACAATATTTTCTTCAACTGACAATGAGTGCAAAAATATGTAAGAGTTTTCTAATTTAACCTCTAAAACATATCGATTATGCCAAAATGGTTTCACAAATTAATAAGTTAAAGGTGACATTTGAATGATTTAAAAGTGGGATATTTTAGTCTTTCTACTCGCGTTTAATTACAGATCCTAGTCTCTTGCGAGACTGAATTTTTATAATATATATTCTACATTGGCGTGGTTAGCGGTGTTTGTATGCATGAGGTGTATGTTATATATAATCGCATATAAGATTCGATTGATATGCATAAAATAAGGTATAGTACTATATGAATCATGAAACCTATATAAAGTAATAAATTATTTGTAATATTTCCTCTGACAATAGTAAGTGTGTACAGAGGCATAACACCGCATTACTCAGGAATGACAAAACATGAAAGGTACCACGAAAGTCACGTGACGACTTGATGTCCGTAGTACATGTATACAGGTGACGGTTGCTATCAGATGGACCGTCAGCTTGTTCGCCACTTCAGTCATATAAAAAGAGACTCAGAAAAAGGTAGGTTAGCAACTGAAATTTTAATGCGTATTTTTTAAATGCAATATAATTCATATAAGTGTTACAAGGTTCTAAACTTTTTTAATGTTATATCTATTGTGCCAAATTTATACCTAAGTGTGCATAATAATGTAAGAGTGGTACTCTTCATACATACATTATTGAACTCTTACTAATAAAAACAACCCTCTAACAAATCTATTAGATACTATTAAAATGTTTTGTCCTTTACTTTCGAAAAATTTTATTCCTTTGAAAAAGGGTAGTAAAATAACACTTAAAATGGGTTCGTTATATTTAACTTTTCATTAATAATGAGGTAATTAATTTTAAGTAAGAGCAAGTACTACTACTGTACCTACTTTATTATCGGCCTAATACAAATCCTTTAAATCTACGCGCTCGTAATCCATTTAAATAATTAAACAATCTATTGTATCAATCATTGTAAGAGGTGTGTCATATAACATTAAATATATATATTAAAAATACATAATTAACAGATACTTTTAAATTGTTAAATTCTACAATTACATGAATTGAGAGCATCACATTTAGACAAACAAAATAATCTCAATTACATCACAATATATTGTAATATCTACATCACGGTTTATATTTTACACTGATTTGTTATAATTTTTTTAAATACTTTGTATATTAATACGAAATGTTTTCTCTTAACGGACTAAGATATTGCAGCTATATCGCACTGAAAAGGCTGACTTTCAAACGAATCTACATCAAATTTAAGACTGTTTCAATAATATTTGAATAAATGTCACAAAAAATCAATTAAAAATGCATAAATATAAATGAACTATACACATAGTTACATATCCTATCCGTAAAATATACCTTACAAAGTCAAATTGATACCAATTCTAGCGTAGTGGCCCAGATTTTTACTAGAATTCCAATTCGAGCAGTAAAACCCCGAAGGTCAAGATCAAAACATGGGCATGTCAAATGTTCTGCTCATCACGACGTCGATAGTTGACAATGACTCAAAACACCCCATCTGGGATAGCATTCGTGAAGGTATGTGAGTATAGTATACCACAGTCAGTAGTCAGCCTGCAGGTTGTTATATTCTATAGTGAATATATCTATATATGTATATCACTATAGAGCATTAATTGCATTGCAATTATTTTTAAGTGACCAATTAGTTTATTTATGTTGATTATTAAAGTAAGATTGTTGTTGTTGTATTTTTTAAGTGATAAACAAAAAAAATGTCATGTAAATAATATTCTAAGTACGAAATATATACAAATTCTGGATATAACAAAAGGTTTAGCAATCCCAAATCCAACTTTAGCAATAGTGACCTAAACCTAGCTAAACCATTTTCCTCAAGGAAGATCGAGAATACTTATGATACCACATTGAAACTGAAACCACACGTCTAACACTCGAATGACGGATGACCATGAATTACGTGTTGTAAAAATGTATTTTTTTTTTATATCTATGAATATCACAATATATTCCCAATTTATACCGTTTCATAAATGCTGTTGCTGAATTTTAGACTGTTTTATGCCATTTTCATTATTATACTATATTATACCTCAATGTAGATTTCTTAAAGCATCAAATTTGTATGTAAGGTTCAATAAGTACAAATTTCAATTTGTACCAACTTTGCATATATATATACACAACTTTTATTAGACCTTTCATACAAACAACCTACATTGTAATGTAATGTGAAATTTATGTTTTTATTGTAAGTATAAATTCTTGTTGTAAGAGAAACAAAATATTTTTATATAGAAATTTAATTATTATTATTTAAATTAGGTGCAATAAATTAATGTATTTTAATTATATACGAATATATTACCTATAATTGGTTATAAAGACATTTTTTATTTTGAATTCCCCTAGTAAATATTATATAGTGCTTTCTAAAATTCATTATGTTATGATCAACTATAATACCGCAATTAAAAATTTAATGCGTCTTTACACAACTGCTTACATACTAGCAACCTCGTTTACATTATTTCTTTGTGTGTTCTCTTTCTCGAGATGTTGTATCGGTAAGTTCGTGTTATGGTATGATTGGCCAGGCAAATTGTATGCAACTATACAGAGACGCTTTTATCTTCCCACTTACTAGAGGAGTCGTACCTGTGAACGGCCATTAACGAAATCATGCACGTTCACTCTAGGATCTAGTGTCTAGATAATAACTTATAATTTATATAGTAAATTATCAAGGCGCTCGTTCTGTAGGTTGATTCGGTTTTTAAAACCTATGTTCAAATCCGAATCAACCTACAGACCGAGCGCCTAGTATCTACACATACATATGTTAATCTAAATAGTTTTTAATACAACCAAGTTTTTGCGGTGAATGCACTATAATTATCTTTAATAAGATAGGTTAATTAATGAAGTGCCGATTTGTGACTGGTGATTAACGCAGAGTTGTGTACTAACAAACTTTACAATTATTACGTAGTTACGTAGTAATAATAGACTATTAGTGAAGTTTAACTATTTTTAATAATAGTTAAAACTAAATAAATATAATATAATCGCAATTAAATTATTGCTACTACATTATTTAAAGTATGAAATAAAATTCAACATACTTCCCATGTTTAAATAATAATATTTTACTGCATAAACGCGTTAAATTACTAATATTATCAGGTACGTTTTTAAATTCACTGGCAATTTCCATCACCAATACCTAAGGCCAACTTCATTTCAAGTGAATATGTTTCATCTTTTCTACCGAATTCTCGATTTTTATCAAAATCATTATCGACACAATCTTCAAAAACGTCATCTCCCGAGACGTTCAAACAATCGTTTCCTTTATCAACCGATTCATTTTCTTTGGAATCGCATTTATTAGACTTATCGACTCCAAGAATCGATTCATTACTGATACATATGCCTGAGTCATTGCCGTCACATCTCATTACCACTTCATCTTCGTTGATTGTTATCAATTTTGCATCTTCATTTATTTTGTTGGCGGCGTCTTCAGTCAAAGTATCTTCAAAAGAAGTATCGTGACTTGGTACGAGGGTAGCCTCGTTTTCATCTATGATAGAACCTGGCGGAGACGGGACGTAACGAACGAATTCACCAGCCCGCCATCTTTGTTCAGCTACCTCCATATGTACTTCCAATATACGAGATACTTCTGGTAACTAAAGTAAACAACAATTATGATATAAATATGAGATAGATGATTAAAAAGCAATGTTGAACATAGTTATTTGTTACTTGTAACTTTGATTTTAAATATTTTGCCCTACAATCACATATTATTACAGGCAATAAAAGATATAGGTAAATATTACGAAAAACTTCCTTTTGCATTTTACTTACCTGTTCAATATTTAAATAAATTTCTCTTTAAATGATTGCTTTAATAATAAGCCCGCCTCATCATCATCAAGCCCGATTTCATGTCTTTTCTTCGCTGTTTATTAGCTTTTAATTACAAATTAAGTATTATAAATCTATATATGGGACAGATTATATAGGATCAATAGAACCAATTGAAATTTGAAATTAAATGGTGCGCATAAAAAATACCATGGTCATAACGTTACGCTGTCATTTCCGTGGTTCTTTTCAAGTAGCATTTAAGCCATACTTCATTTATTTCGAAAACGGTAAATAAAGCAAATGTAGATTTTTATTATAATATGTTTCTACTCAGGTAGGCAAGATTTTCTCATCTAATACTTACAGTGTATTCATTCTCCAAATGTCCAGATATGTGCTCTATGATAGCATTAGTCTTGTTATCTATCTTCCCTGCGTGGCTGTTTAGCACATCGAACTGTCGATACATCTCCCGTTCTTCGTACTGCAGCGTCCGCTCTAAGATCTCAGTAGCAACGGAGTCTTCGACCCGAGCATTTTGTCTTGGATCAGAATAGTTCACTCCTAGAACTTAAAACATTTGTGTCAAGAAATCTTCGTTGTATATACAGTTCTTATCTCTACCAAATCCATAGCTGTACTATTTCATATTACTTACGGTTACTGTTGCTCTATGTTTCTATTGCTCTTATTCTTTTAACTAATATTATTCAGTTTACTCTCATACCTAATATACTTAAAGTTAGACCCAACATAGTATTCTCTAAAAATATTTATTTATCAAACACATTTATCAGATGTTACCTTGAGAAGGGTACCTATCGTCTTCATACGAATTGATGGTGTTGATTATAGACCTCTTGGCTTCACTTCGTTCTACGTCCATTAATGACGAACGTGACGGTAGACATAAATCGTTGTTTACAGCTTCTATAACATTTTAATATTATTAAGTTTATTATAATTGGCTTTGCTCTCGACATACTTTTATGTTTAATACGACCAACGAGAATATGTAACGGACTTGTTAATTTTATCTTAATAATTCAATAATATGGATCTTAAAATATATCTCAAAATGTGTAGGTTAAGCTGTGATACAAAAATCATACCAGTTTTTTCAAATCTTTCGGTCTCAGTATTTTTCATTAACGTGTTTGCATTAACTTCTACAATAATATCTTTTTTGGAATGCCCATCTACGTTCTCATTGTTGGCTTTATTTGTTGTATTTAGATCATTGGCGCATTGTTTTACAGTATTAAACTCACGGTTGTTGAATTGTGTACTAGTAGTTCCATTATCTTTTACTGTTGTTCCATTTGCATTATCCTTAACTGTTTCAGTTAACTTTTCTTTATGTTTCAAGTTTTTCTTGATTTTACTTGATGCAGTACTTGGTTTGTATGATGTATTGTTGATATTATGTACTGTTAATTCAATTTCCTCCTCGCTAGTTCCCTCGCTTAATGTATGTATTGATTCTGTATCTGCAGTAGATGCTAAAATAAAAGATATGTTTAAAAATGTGCTCTTTTCGTACTATTTCGTTTTATATAGCCATGAAGAATACCTGCCTATATTTAACAATGTACAATACGAATTAGAAATGCTGATTATAACGCAACGATTAATCACTTGTAGAATACATTAAATGTTAAAATATACTTTAAAGTAGCTTATATCTCATCAACAACTACATATTGTCAAAATAATCATAAAATTAGATACACACATGCTATTACTTCCTCGCCAATTTCATATTGTATCTCTGTACTGAGCGCTTGATTGTCTACATACTGATACAGTATCGCTCCAGGAACATGTGTCAGCTTTACTTTACTCTCATCTAAAAATAAAAAATATAGATGTAGGTACATACAGATCTTATTCAGTTAAACAACACCTCTACACTATATTATATTTTTTTATAAAGGATTGCTTAAACGCGACAATAGTACAATTAGGCATCAATATAGAAAAATAACTGCATAGTTAGTATACACTCTCTATTAGGTACTTACTAGTGTATTCTTTTTCATTTAATTTTTAACACCCGAGATAAATTTCGCAAAAAATATACAAGTACCTACAAACTTTGATTTGACAGTTTTTGACTAATACTAATTTAAGTAATATTTTCTAAGATACTATAAACATTAGCATAATACCCATTAAATATTTACCAGGCTTTTCGCCACCAGTAAGCTGGCTAAAGGCAATTTTATCGAATGCGTTATTATGTCTATAGGTCGTATATTCAGTCTTCTCTTTAATTTCATGAGCCGACAATCGTTCTTCTGCCTTATAGAATACATCCATTGTCTTCTTATCATATAGTTTCTAAAAATGTTACAACAACAGTGATAATTGAAATTAATGTATAAAAAATACGATCTAACAACATCTACCACACCCACACCATAACACCTAAAAATTAGTTATAGGTATAACTAATTTTTAGGTGTTATTTCGGAATTCTAATACAATAAATGTTATTGTCTATAGTATGATTTTTTTATGACGTACTAGCTACTTTAGATAATTAATAAATATTTTATTGCAATTAAAGTAGTTCAACGAAATCATCTTAATCTTCATCATTATTTATAAGTTTTACAAGACACACAAATATTGTATTAGAATAATATTAACCAACAGTCTACATACCATTGGATCAACAGCTGGCTCTCCCCTATCAATTCTGGCTTGGCGCTCCTCCTGTTCTCTTTCCAGTTCTGCAAATATCTCTAAATCTTCGTTACTGGGCTTCAAGTCGTCATCATCGATTTCATCGGAGTTCAGTTGTTGTATATAGTTTATAAGAGCAACTCCGTCTCCTTCATTGTTTTGTACTATTAAAACACAAATTTTATTAAGAGTAGCCTCTTGATTTATCACACATTTCTTATGTTAAGACAGTCGATATTAGCAAACTTATCAGCAATAGTACTAGTATATTTAATGTTGAGTTTAATTAATATATCTGTTATTTTAAAAATCAAATAACTTTATCGACTTCTTTCATTTTATTAAAAATTTATGTACTACCACGTAACCTAGCTATATATATATATTCTATATTACACCGCAATGTTCCTAGAAGTGTTATATAAAAAAATATTTTGTATGCCAACAAATGAATGAACAGACCTGTTCGCCGGGCATCAGGAGCTTCTAATTTAGAGCAACTCGATTTACTTTCAATTTCTTGTTTTTTATCATAAATCTCTTTAACTTCATCATTACTTACTTTATCGCCATTCGTAAGTGTTACTTCTGTATTAGAAATATCATGTTTAATTTTTTGAACCTCTATTATGGACACTTTTTTCAGTGGCTTTATGTCTATATCCTTTGATTCGATTTCTTCATTTATAGTGTTTGTAATGAGTTTATTATCTTGTTTTGTCTCCCCTTCCCTCGATTTTTCGGTGTCAATAATCTCTATCATAGGTCTTTTAAAGACGCTGGATGCTGTATCTTCTTTACCTATCTCTGTTACTATAACTTTACTTTTAGACTGTTTTGATTCTGTAATTTATAAATTACAAACAGCAATTTTATTCGAATTTTTAAAATTCCGTATTTATTTACATACATTTATTTATTTACATTGGTTTACTTATAAGAAATTTCATATATAGAATAATAGGTAAGTTTACCTTACCCTTAACGTGGCTTACCTTTCAAAATCTCAGTTACTCTCTGTCTGTCGTTATGTGGAGTTTGATCAAATAATAACTTGTCAATTGCTTGAAATTCAGAAGCAAAGTTACTGCAATTTAATGTTTTAATTTTAATATAAATATTATACATAAAATTCTCGTGTCACAATGTTAGTTACCATACTCCTCTGAAACTTTTTATGAAATATTATATGCATATTCAGTAGGTCTGAGATTCGGCTACTACCTATTTTTAACACTCCAAACTTTATTCTCCTATCCTATATTTTAATTTATATGGCAAAACAACGTTTTCGGGGTCAACTAGTAATATTCTAATATTTTTTTGTTAAAATGTTATTTCATAGAAAGTTACTACTTTCTATGAAATAACATTTTAAGAATTTTCATTAATTTCAATTTCTCACTTACTCGCCACTTTTGCCTTCCTTATGATTTCCTCTATATCCATACCAGTAATCCTCAGCAGGCTGGGATTCTGGCTGATCTTTTATTTCCTGAACTAAGCGCCTACCAGATTCCAGCTGGGACCATTCTATTACACCTGTCGATGTTTCTATGAAAATATAAACCCAACATATTTATCAAGTATTAGATTTATACAAACGATTTATACGATATATTGTCAACAACAAAGGTGGAACTGCAAAAACCTTGAAAACCGCTAGCGTATTTTACAATTAGACTGCATTACATTGTACTATACTTACAGTTAAATTACAGCAATACCAATTTTACTAAAAAATGAAAATGAACTTTTTGTAAAATATGAACAGTAAGACTTAGAGGAATAATAATAAGGAAATATATAATTTTCTTATTTTAATAATCAAAAACTATACCATCCTTCTTGCCATCATCTTCATCGCTGCTTTCTTCGCTTGTAGTATCTTCTTCCTCAGAACCAGTAAGCATGTCAACAGCTACTCCATCCTTGGTCTTCACCTCTACGGGTCCATATTTATCTTCTAAAGTCAAAGGTTCTTCTATTTCTTTAGTTAAATTGGTTTCTGTTAAATTCTCTACATTAGTTTCTTGTGTTAAATCTTCTTCCTATAAATATATAACATATTTCTTGAAATTACGCATTCCGAGAAAAAAGGTCGTTCCTATGTTATGTTATTATTAGTATTATTATTATTATTATTATAGTTTTTGTCTGTTTATTAGTCTAATTTATCAAGAAACTGATATCACATTAAATCATTAATACAATAATTACATTAAGCAATTTGTAGATTAGTAAACCAAGAAACATTAAATTACATACAATATTTAATATTTCTTTATAAAACATATCATAATTTTCTATATTTCAGCTAACCTTAGACGGAAGACCTAATTTCTCTCTCTCTTCCTTTTCTTTTGCTTCTCTTGCTGCTTTCTTCTCATCTCTCATACGTATAAGGTAACGGACGCTTTGCATTACTTTCTCTTGATCTCGTGCTATCCAACTGTAAAAAAAAATTATTCTGATATATTTTCTGTGTATTAATTTATAACATTGAATGTGGTTTTTATATACCAAAATTTTTTTGTTTTAATTATCTATTATATAATATATTTTTTTGGTTATCGATACATACAATGCCTCGGCAGAAACAAGCGCAACTGTGAATTAATTTGTTTACTACTTGTGTTCTATAATACTTAGCAAAAAAAATCAAGATAAAGAAAGCTAGTTTTCAGCATAGCCAGTCATGGCCACGCGGATGAAGCTGTATAATACATATTGTCCAAACCGTTTCCTCTCTGCAATCTCTTCCTGCACACCGCCACGTTTCCATGCCTCCGCGCAGGCTCTGTCCCGAGGAAATACTGGTCTATTATCAAGATTCTGTAGGTCTTTGATACGCAGTGTCAGAGTTTTGCGGTATGCAGGAATGTTGCGCACTACTGGATTGCCGGTTAACACCAAAACTGAAAAATCAAAAAACTACAGTAACAAAGAACAACGAAATGACCAGCTTAAAATTAAATACTTCCCATTGCATAATAAATATTTGCAATAATCTAGTATTTTTTCTAGATGTTACCCAAGTTTCCTACAGAAAATGTAATAAAAAATTTTGCACCTTTCAATGTAGCCATATCCGCCAATACATCTACAATTAGTGGATCTTCGATTCTGTTGTACGACAGATCTAATACGGAGAGATTATTGCATGTCCTCAAGTGCTGGAGATCATCTGAAACATAGAGGTGAGTAATGTTCAACACTAATGTTTATATGAAAATTACATGAGCAATTTACTTTGTGGTCTGTGAAGTAGGAAACAGCAAGATTAATCTAAGTATTTAAAAAAATACAGCTATAAAAAAAAATAATAGTAAGATGCTCCACTTAGATATTTAATCTACTCGGCCAATTTTTGTGACCCCAAAAAACGTATGCTACGAAACTTATTTCAAAGGATTATTACAATAGTATTCGCAACTAGCATATTTTAGATCTACCACAAGATATTTTAGTTGTTTAACTGACAGTTTAAGGTAACTATGAATGCTATGAGCTATGACACCAAAGCTACATATACCTACTAGAAATTCGAAATTTTCCTTTAGTTATTTAAGTACATTTTAAAATATTTTTAAGTACTTCCTTTAAATACAACTTACCAACAGAAGTCAACATATTATGAGCAATGCTCAAAGTATGCAAGTCAGGGACCACGCCTAAATTTTCGATCCTTGGAATAAAATTATGATCTAAATTCAATGTATCCAGTTTAGGGCATCCTTGGAGATTCTCTATCTTCCTCACAACGTTGTAATGTAAATAGAGACACTTTAGTTCTGCGAGAGTGTCTAGACCTTCGATTCTTTGGATCCCATTATTTTCGAGGAATATACATTTAAGTCCTGTATACTCTTCGAGATTTTCTATTTTGGCGAAACCCTACAGGAATATGTAAAAAATCAGACATTATATCAGAACACATCTCCAAGGTTTTTCTTAATGGCTGATTACCGAATGGTGCACTCGCAAATCTAACAATATACACTGAGTACATACATACACTGACGGGGCACCAGTAGATAATGATAGGATGAGCATGTAAAGTTATGTCAATTAATCCTTCATGGCGAATTAACTAGGAATCAATCACAATGCGTTTCAGGGTGAAACGCGTGGAGATCGACCTGACATGATAAATTGCTAGATAGGCGCACTAGTTCCTATTATTAGCAATCCTATATATAATTAACTGTTCGTATAAAATAAAATTTATTATTATTATAACCTTTGGAAAGAATCGTTAAGTTTTAAATGACTCATTTATTCCTGTATTAGAGAAACTCACCTTAAAATGCAAATATAGTATGTCATTCAAATATGGAGTGCAGTATAATTTATGTTGTCTACAGTGGTTCTTTATAAACTCTTTAGTCATCCTCGGGCCCTTGTTCATCTCTTCCATCTCTTTTTCCAACTTTAATTGAAACTCGCGCTGCCTCTGCTTCTCTTTCTCTTTCTCTTCTTCTTGCTTTTTCTTTCTTTCTTCTTCAGGATTTGTGGTCACTATAATTGACAATAAAATTATATTATTTTATTACTACAAAGTATTCTTTTGTAGTTGGAGAGTCAATTCTGTGCTATGAGGTACATCATATTAATGACAGTACTCACTTACATCGAGTATTGAACCAATTTTTTTTAAAAGGACGATTGTAGTCTGTTAACAATATGTACAAAAATAATATTATATTTTGAAGGATTTTATTTATAGATAAAGAATTAGGAAATAGAGTTTAGGAGTTATACATGTGTTTACAGAAAGAAATGTATTAGAGCATGTATGTATTGCTTAAGCTGTGTAATTTAGTACTAAACATCGATGTGTAAATAGTCCTGAGTTATAATTGTAATATATTTAATGTTAATGAACCCACTAGTAGAGAAATAAATCACATGTAAAAGCACTAAATTAATAAATATAAATTTACCTTTGAAAGTATTGGTGATATTATTTTCTGAAATCGTTGTACATTTAGGTTCGTCAGCTGATGTATTATTTTCATGTTTTCGTACATTACCTTTAGCTTCTATATCTATTTCAACAGATGATAATTCACGGACTTTACACGTGTTATTGTTTAAAACTTTCTTTCTAGATTCCTCTCTTCTCAATAAATTGTTTGCTAATCTAAGAACTTCCTTATTGTCCTTCATTTTGTCTTTTATATCAAAAAGCAAATCATTTATTCTCTTGTTTCTCTCTAATTCCTGTTTCTTAAACTCGTCCAGCTTCTTATTTCTATCATCTTTATATTGTAAATCAATATCCCATAATTCTTGTCGTATTATTACATTCGATTTATCTCTTGTTTCTGCTTGTTTATTATCGTCAACTATAGATGTATTTTTGCTGTTGTCATTGGAATCTACCAGGGGAAGTTCAGCGGTTGCTTCTTTTACTGGATGTAAAATACCATGTGATTTTTGCAATATATCATCAACTTCTTTAATAAATACTTTACATTCATTATTTCTTAATTCATAATTGACTTTACTTTTGTTAATTCTATCTTCATGGCATTTTAATTCAACATTTAATTTTTTTATAGAAGTATTTATATCATCTATGTGTGAATCAGAAACAATGGCATTTTTAATTTTCTTATCGTCTTGTATATCGACTATATCTTTAAAAAGAAATTCAGTTTCATTGTAAGTTGGTTTCTTTGTTTTTATACTATCTATTGCTTTTCTTTGTATTTCACCTTCTTCTTTAATTTTTTGATAAGCAATATTTGATTTCCGTGAATCTTCCAAAGCTTCATTTACATCGTTTAATAATTCATTCATACTATTTAATTTGTTGGTTATATCTTCACGAATTAATGTGCTTAAATTTTCAGCGCCTTCTACGATATTACGTGCTAGGTTCTTCATTTCATTGTATTCCAGTTGTTTATTATCTTTGTTGCCATTATCAGTTATTTCAAATATATTAGATAAGGCATTGTGTAGAGTTTCTTCCATTCTTTCATCAAATTTCTGGGTACATTCATTTATTTTATCTGTGTTGCTATTTATATCTATTGGCATCGTAACATCTTCTACTATTTTTTCTTTTTCTTCTATTTCATTTTTAAATTCACTTGTATTATTTCGTGTTACTTCAGGACCATTGTTTAAAATAGAGTTAATATGGCGTAAAGTCTTCTCAGTGTCTTTTAATCTTGCTTCAAAGCTCTTTGGAAAGACCTCTTCTACGTCATATATTTCTTTTTTTTTCTTTTTTTTCTCATGTTCCTGTTCTTCTGTACCGCCACTAAAACTGGAAATAACGGGATTACCTATTAAAGGTATATTCATTGCTACATTTACGGAATAATTTTCTTTAATTTCATCAAAAGCTGATTTTCTTATTTGACCTTTGATAAAATGTACAGAAGATTCTTTTAAAACAATATCGTGATTTGTTATTTGATTTTCCTCTATTTCATTTGTCATCTCTGAATTGTCGTATTTGTCAGCTAACTTCGAAAGCATTTCTTTTGTTTCTTGATATCTAGTCTCATATGATTTATTTGTGTATTGACTGACTACCTTCTCTATTGCCTGGAATTCATCATCGGTATAATCATAATCATTATTATCAGATTCATCGTGTGTTATCTCTATATTTTTAGAATCTATATTTTTGTAATTATCAACAGATTCTATTAACGCTTGCATATTTTCATAATTTATTTTGTTTAAAATTTCTTTATTACCGTCAGCTGAAACCATTTCATCTGCAATATTTCTGTATGTTGGTATATTAATCTGATCCAGAGGTATAGCAATATCATTACGATCTAAAGACTTTCTGATAATTTGTATTTGTCTTGCTTTCTCAGTTATTATAGGATTGCTTTTTAGCATGTCTATTATCTCATCTGAAGTGAATGGCTTGTTCGACTCCTTTACTTCACTAAATGGTTGACCTGTCATTACCTCATATTCTGATTTTATTTCTCCACAACATGAAGCTGCTATGTAAGGTCTATCTTCTATGTCCTCCAATAGTTTCAATTCATTTTCAATCAGTTTATCTATTTGTTCATCGGAAAACTTAGCGTCTTTAAAAAAGTTTTTCAATTCTGTTCGTTTTATTTGCATATATTCCGAAGTAGTCCCCGAAGCATCGGAGATACTCATATTGTTTTATCACTGTGTATTTTCACTTCTTAAGAAAATTATATGTATCTCTGTTATGTTAGATACGGATCGAAATTGTATTTGCGTATTACCATGGCTACCATGCTATCGTCATTTTGTTTAATCGAAATTCAAATTACGGATTTATTTATTTGGTGGCAACTTTCATTGTATCATTGTTTCACCCTCGCGTAATTTGATGACCATACTTAGGTACCTGCATCTGAAGGTAGGTATAGCTAAGTACCTACCTCTAGATATTGAAAAAGATTATTATCTATGTACAGATAAGGTAATACTAGTAAAAATAGTATATAAAGATAATATTACATTTAGAATCTCAAGATATTGATTGGATTTATTAATGTATAGTTACAGCTGTATTCCAGAAACCTAGATTAATTTTATTACGCAATTGTGTATGTATTTAATTGTATGTTTAAAAATATCCAACGGCGCAGATTCGAAAATCCGCAAGAGTTCAATTTATAGATTAAGATTAGCATATGTCTATCCTCCTGATGAAGCCTACCATCACGGCACGTAAGAATCCGTTCAACCATTTAAGTGTAAAATGGTAACAAACAGAGGTACAGACTGTGTGTTTTGTTATACATAGTAACTTAGCATTGTGTAAACAAACACAACAGACAGACGAATAAAATCTCTGCACATAAAACTATATTTTTCCACTGTCGATAGTGTGCAATGCCTTTGATTATATCATTAGTCGTGAAGGATTATTATTATGATTTCAATATTTTTATGCTTTGACATATTTTTTAATAGTGTTATTTTTGGGATTATGCCAAATGCATAAATGAAGAGTATGCGTTACAGTATCATTAAAAAATGATATATATATATTTTATTTTATTATGTGAAGAAATAAAATAATAATAATCAATCTAAAATCACTCATAACTAGCAAAATCATATTTTTTACTTTGAGAACATTTAGCACTAATCACAAATTTAAATATAGTAACACTAGTCGGGTATTTTGACATTTGGCTGAAATGAAATTTCCAGGACCGTTAAAATATTTAATAAAAAAAATATTTTGACATTTCATATTATAGCGGCTAACTCATTCTATATTTTATTTACATTATTATTGTTCTTTGCCATTGAAATATACTTTCAGTGAATTGAAATAAAAATATTTTATTACTAGTAATTATAATTGTGCATGCAGTAAAACCACTATCTCAATAAAACTTTTAATAAATTTTTCAATGCCCAACATTTATATTCTATAAATGATAGTATGGCAGATGAGCGTAATTTTCGCTCTTCCTATTATGAAAAAGTAGGATGCCGGGGTGTAGAAGAGAAAAAATCTTTGGAAATACTCATGAAGGAGAAACCTTGGGATAGAGTTAAGTTGAAACAGTTTTGTCTACGATTTTCTGTTCCAGCGGCTTACAGACAATTAGTATGGAAAGTGTTACTTGGTATGTATTTTCGTCAGAATTGACAATAAACAATAAATATATTGTGCTTGCAGCTATAAAATAAATATGGAAATGAAATACCTGTAGAACAATGATGTCATTATATTCTTTAAAAAAATCATTTGAAGATTCTCCATAATAATTAGATGTATTGAAGGAATAGAATTTTCATTGACAAAAAACAAAATCATCCTATTAGAATTGTCTTTGTATGAAATACTCTTGTATTTCTAATTATTATATTTAACAATTTTGTTTTATGTACATGTCAGGTAATATATATATATATACATATATCAGAACACATACTTAACTTTATTTTTAGATTTCCATAAATTTATTTGTTATTTATTAATTATGAATAATGAAGTAAAGGTACCTTTTAATATTCAATTTGTATGGCCATAGATATCCTGCCAGTGTATCCAGACTCACATCTGTTTGTAACAAAGCAACGGACAGAGCAATATGATGATTTATTGTATGCGGTGGAAATGCTAAGACTAGTTGAGATGGATGCTCCCCGCAGCAAAATCCTATTTGAAATGTGGCTACTGGAGAATGAGGAAAGAAAACCACCAATATTTCCAGAAACAAACTTCTCTGTAACTATTGTTTTACTAATTAATCTATAGCTTTGCATGTTTAAATTTGAACTTATACATTGTATTTTATATGTTTGTAAGTCTAATAAAAATTGAGAATCTTTTATATTGCAATTCTTATATATCAATTTATTAAGAATTAAAATGTGATGATCACTGACAGGTTGCTAATCAGTCATTATTTCCACTAGCCATGTTGAAAGAACTATACCTACATAGGTGTAAAAAATGTACATAGTAAATAAATATAACTATGTACATATTTTTTTCCAGTCTGCTGACACATTTATACCTATAGCAGAGACCTTACTAGAGTTGTATGCAGAAGAAGTAGATATTTACTGGATAACAAAGAGCCTGACAGATGTAGTCAGAAACATGCAAAAGGACTTGTGTAAACTTAAGGAAGCATTCCTAACTATGTTGGAGAAAGAAGATGATGAGCTTTATAAGTAGGTGTTCATTCTATTTTTATATGTGTATGTAATAAATATTATATTAACTCTCTTGAATAATTGTTCGCTAGTTTTGTTACATTTTAATAATATTTTTAGTATTCCTCATTATTAACAATTTTCAATACAGTACATGGATGTACTGTATTGAAAATTGTTAAGTTACAAATATTCTTTTTCAGCCATCTCTTAGACATTAGTGCTCTGGAAGTATTACCATTAACAAAGTGGTTCAATTGCTGTTTTGCTGGAGTTTTAGATGATACTTCTTTAACAAAGTGAGTATTATTAACTTACTTATCAAGTAACCATTAAATAAAAAAGTAAGAGTTTAAGTGATGACATTTATTTTCAGAATATGGGACAAAATTTGTAGTGGTGCTCCAAAAATTTTATCATTTGTTGCTGTTATGTTAGTAATAACTTTGAGACGAAACATATTGAAGGCGAAAAACCCAGATGAAGTTCTCAAATGTGTTTCTGAGGTATACATATTTTTATTTATATTTGTTTATAAGTTATTTATTTCTAACAAATTATTCATATTTTGTCACTATTGTAATTTCATCATTATGCAATATTAGAATTTAAAAAATATATAGTACATATATTGTATTGTCCTAAGTTGTACAAACAACTAAAAAATTGTAAATCTTGATTTACAGATTCCAGAACAATGTGAAGAAGTTGTTGCTAACAAAGCGATTGATCTTTGGCAATATTACGGTGCTCAACCACAAAATGATCAGTTAGCAAAGAAATGATGTATGACCTTCTAATGGGTTTATCTCATTAGAAGTAAAAGAAAGTTATAATTAATATGGACATTGGTGTTTCAAAATTTAAAATAAAAAAATAATATAAAAGAATATATGTGCTTTGAGTACTTATAGTAAATAATATATTAAAAATACTTTATTAATATTTGGTCTAGAAATTTGGCTTTAAAATTATGGAAAATATAACCATGTACTTCTAAATATTATTATTAAATAAAAACAAAGTAATGAAATTTGTTTTAATTTTTTATACACCCTTCGAACTTTTTGACACAGATCTGGGGTGCACAGAAAGATTTTGTGTCAAAAAGATTTGAAACCGTATTACCGCCTTGTCACAGATCTGTGTTCGAAAAATACCGTGACTTCTTTTTAACTAATTTTATCCTTATTTAAAACAAAGGGAGATTAAAAGGCATTTGAGAAAATACAACAGTGCGCGCATACTATCTCTTCACTTTCGGTCTCTGCGACAGACGAGTCTATATTGATGTAGCAACAGATTGATACGTAGTGATCAAGGAACATAATGTAGTGGTAGTAACATTTTTTAAGTTGTTAACATTATCGAGCGAATTAAATAGAATACTTTATTTTAAAACATTGTTGGTTTTGACTTGATGTTTAAATCATTTGTCAATCATTTGTAATTATTTATTAACCGAGTCGAACGACTCACAATTGAAGCCAAATATGATCTGTGGCCGTTTGTCTCTCTACATTATAATAATCTGTGGTTCTGACACTGGTAACATTTACACTCGCCATTTTGCAAGAATGTCAGCCAAATCATCAGCTCGCGCTTTTAGATAGGGTTTATGTTTTTTTACGTAAAGTGTTAATGATTTTAATTTGAGACCGACAATTTAACATTTTATATAAAAAAATGGACCGTTTTATAAGTATGTGGAAGGTGCGGGAATTGGCGGACAAAGTGTAAGTTGTATCTAATTTATACTTCTTTTTTATGCAAATTGCATCCATCTGTCTTGAAAATATGGTGTTTTACTGTATTACCACGAATGTAATAGTAATATAAACAAATTGCGAACCTTGTAGTTATTTGCTGCTATCATTATTTTCAAACATTTGAGTCTACCTAAAAAAAAACTAGTTACACCAGTTTTAGAATACATTCCAAAAATAGTCTATAAGGTACTTAGTGAATTGAAAAATAAAACCAATATTATACTATAAGAGCTGCCAGTAAATTAGCTATTCATAAACTTCCTTAAAATTGTACAAATTCAATCTACAAGTGTGTATTTGTACAATTATTCAGAAAACAATCTGCAATAGTAAGAAAATCAGTAAATAATGAATCGTATATGTAAATGTCTTTAAGGCATGTAATCTTATTGTTTGTTGTTATACATGTAATGGTATTTATTTGCTTTTTTCTGAGATAGTCTTTACAAATGGAAATACTGTCAATTTATTTACTTGTGTATTAAACAGTATTGGTATATTTAGTAATGTGCATTACACTCCAATGGCATGTTTAATTTGTTATAACTACAGTAACTACAATACAGTTAATGTATACAATCTGGTAGAACTATCTAGTATGTTGAGCAATTCCAGCAAATGTATAGGTGAGGTCCTTTTCCTAATACCCTTTTTAAGCACCTACTTATGTGGTTAAGTCTAATATATAATAATTGGGAATAAACCAATGTGTATACATTATTGCAGTCATCTATGAACAAGTAATTAATAATAAGATCAGATTTATATATCAGTTTTTATTTAAAGTATGTTAAAGAGTTGATAAATAAACAGTCCTAATGTTATGTTATCTATAAAGTATGAAAAGTTCTATGAATCAACAATTATCTTATAAATACTTTAAGTAAGTTTTATAGATAATCTCCTATACAAATAATTTATAATGTATTAATTAATTTACATAATGTTAAATAACACACATTGAGATGCTTAACATTATAAATAGATTTTATTCTGTTTACATGTTGCTTCCCCTATTTTCATCTTTATAATATACTAACTGAGCACACAACTTCATAACCATATATGAAGCTGTGTAATACCTTTTTTGTTAGTGCTCTAATTGGAATAAACCACATTCAACTTAATTAAGCCATTTCTGATAGCACACATGAAGACAGACAAATATTCTAAGAATCATTGCATTGTGTTATAATTGTAATGTAAAATTTTAAAGTCCCTAATATTAGTTTTTTATATATAGGTTAGGTATTTCATGTATTGACATCAATCAGTTGCATTTTTAGTATATGTATAGATTAGTGAGGAGTAAATATTTTATAATTCTTGTGTCATACAGCTACACCTTTTACAGTCATATTCCATTTAGAAGATAAGGCTACCTGAATACTTCCACCATAATAACATTACCTTTCTTCATCTCACACTTAGATAAACATATAATGATTTTTACTTACAATAGTCTACATAGATTCATATATGTAACTGCACAAGAAATAGAAATTGTTATGTTCCATACTTTTTGCCATTGAGTGTGAAAATATCATCTATTATTATGATAAGCAAAACTTTGTACTCCTTTTTACGAAAATCGCGAAACTCTTATAGTTTATATAGAGAAGAAATGCAGAATAATAAATATAAAAAAAATATTAAATCAATAAAAAACTGGTACACACACTACCATGTATTTGACACACACACATACTCTTTTTTTATTATTAACATCTCTGATCAAATTGAGAATAGATTAATATTGTTTTGTCTTTAGTATTATTTGGCTATAGTGTTATTGAATATAAAACTAATTATGGATGAATTTAGACCACTAGTAAGAATTAATGAGTGTAAGCTTTTACCTTTTACTATTCAACTGATTTGGGTGCCACATCAGACAGAAGTAGATAAATATGACTCTGAAATAGTTAAATACAATTCTTTAGCTTTGATATCAGAGGTAGCTGTCAAATGTAGAGGTTAGGTTAGGTTGAGACCATTGACCTAGAGACCATTTGGTAATATTGCAAGTTGAAACATGAGTAGACCTGTTAATATAAGTAGATGATAACACAAGTTAGATCTTATATCCAACTTGTACAAGTTGGATATGAGATCTAACTTGTGTATTATATATCACATAATATCATCTGTTTTGTGTACACCACTGATAAATTACACTATCTTATCTTGTTGATTGTATAATTTATAATTCTACTTATCAATTTTGATTAAATGTCCTTGATTGTAATTTATTTATCTTGTCTATAGATATGAATCTGTTATAAAAATACTACTCACAGTCCTATTACAAAATCTCAAATGTATTTGACCTACAAAGCTAACTTGTAGCAGATATGGATAAATATTAGGTTTATCGAATTTTACGCATGACTAAGATGTTCTTGATTCTAGCCCTCGTATAAGTTTTGGCTAACAAAGTCAAGTAAATTGTTAGACTTAACAAATAATATGGCCACAGGGAAACTGATTACAATCGAGAAAATTATTTTTGAATCGTCTCTGTAAATGTGTGAACTTGTTCACAAGTTCAAGTTGATTTGTAATTAGCAATAATCTTTAATATTCACACAAACAATAGTTATTGTATTAATATTAATACTTCAAAAACTACTTGACATAAAATGCCTAAAATAGTATCCTTTATTGGATATGGATAATTCTGATCCAGTATGTAGTAGTTTTTGAAAATTTCACGTAAGTGTATGACGAACGGCACCTAAACATGGTATAGGGCTATAGATTACACGCGTAACGCAACATACAGTTAATTTTTAACACCTTAAATATCAAGCCATTATCTACTTTGCTACATGATTTGACCTTCATTTTTATAAGTCCAACGAGACAAACTTTCACTTGCAAAAATATTAAACATTGGAGATATGAATTCCTTCATTTTTTATGTTAGTTAAAAAATGTACTGCAAATAGCTTCAATTATCTTGCATAAGATTATTGCGCAATCTCCACTAACTTGTTTGCACCAGTACTATAGCTCGTTACATTAAATACAGTTCCCTAAGGGCTTTCTGTTTTCATAATCCATAATTTATATTTGAACTTATATAATATAGTTATGGAAGAGATAGTTTAGTCATAGATACGTTTGCAGGATTATAGCGTGTATATAGGTCCACTCTCTAATTAAATATATTTTAATAATTATCATTTTGTATTTTCGCTATCATTGACGTTTAACTATGTGTGAGTAAAATAAACACTACGATTTATTTCGCCCTATTTGTAGATTTGTAGAAATGAATATTTATAGGTACCAAGTAGACTTTATACAAAGTCGTCTGCGTGGTTGTTTTTCATCTATGTCAGCCGTCAAGCAGATTTCTATATTCTCGATAGGCTATCTTAAGGTTGACGAGTGAGATATGGCATGAACATTATATACTATAACTATAATATAATAATATAAGTACATAGTTAGTATTATATGGTAAGCAGGCATGCCACCTGTAGGGCCACAGTATAATTACATTAAAAAAATAATATTGTTATTCATATATTATTCATACATCGTATTTCCATTGGCAGTTGTGTACGTACTTTTTCAAATAGAAACAAATTCCACTATTAGGTTAATGACAGTATCAGCCTATTAACAATTACTGTGATCAACAGTGTGGAACCGTTTACTGTACAGGTGTAGATATAGAGTCTATAACACGGGAGCCCTGATAATCTTAATGAATTTAAATCGACAATGCTAATAACTGTGTTTTTGTTAGATCACTTGCGTTTCAGAATTCCTCTATCGACTTATATTTATAGATCAACCTAGGAGTGTACCTACAGATCTAGAGACTTGTTATTCTTATGGGTTTAAGTTTTTGGATTAAACAGATCCTATGTCAGCTCGGTGAAATAATTTATGTTCAGGCCAAATTTCATTATAATCCGTTAGTGAATAAGTAACAGACGAAGACATTTTAGTTTTTATATTAGTATATGTATTATAACATGATAATGAATACTATTTTTATACAAGGGTAAACCCAGTAAGTAGCATTAAAAATGTTTTTTTCCCTTATATTGTTATATATTTGTTTTAGGACAAATGTGGTGATGAACTACACAGAAGTAGAGGGCAAAGTACGGGAGGCGACATCCGACGAGGCTTGGGGTCCCACTGGTCAGCAGATGCAAGAGCTAGCTCTGGCCACGTTCACGTACGAACATTTCCCGGAGGTTATGTCGATGCTGTGGAGACGAATGCTGCACGATAACAGAGCGCATTGGAGGAGAACTTATAAGGTACGATTTTATTATTTGATTCTAGCGCAAGTCTGCGTCACATTTTCTCATTTCTTCAACATTTTTCGTTGTTATATTGCGTAGGTATGAATGACCCTAAATAGTAAAATAAATGGAAGTACCCATACATATTTATTTTTTTGTCGTTGGACGTATTCCGTCCCTGCTTATACTTACTCAATTGTAATCAATATGACACATACACACACACACACACACACACACAGGTCAATTCAATATGGTACATTTACATTTGTGTTATACATTACAATTGATATTTTTATTTCAGTGCTTACTACTACTCAGCTACCTTGTCCGCAATGGTTCGGAACGCGTAGTGACCTCGGCCCGAGAACACATCTACGATTTACGCTCGTTGGAGAACTACTCATATGTAGACGACTTGGGAAAAGATCAGGTGAGGAAAATGACAATCCAGCTGAACCCGCGACTTTGAATTGCTATTCAACCCCTTTATATGTAGGGGTTTAATCCGCTGTATCAATATTGTGAAATATCTATATAATTGGTAAAAAGGTAAAAGGCTCACAATATGTCACCAGCACAAATTTACCAAAATTAGAAGACATAAATCACACTGTTTGTAAATATAAAATATTAGTTAAAACGTCTTCTAATTATAATATAACGTCTTAAATTTAACATAAAGTTCCAATATTATCTGTGTATGTACTATTTAAATTTATATATTTCCCTGGACAATTCACACCAAACCATCTAGCCTCAAACTAAGCAGAATTTGCATGATGGGTACTAGACAACTGATATGAATACTTAGATATATATATATTTGAATACATAATAGACAGAAAACACCCAGATCAATACAAACAATCATACTCTCATGAATATAAATGTTTGTACCGTGCGACAAATCGAACCCGCGACCAACTGAGTTAAAGCAGTGTGCTTAAGCGCTAAACCACCGAGGCCATCATTTAATTTTTTGTTTGTGTTGTTTATATGATTCGCTGTAAAAGATAAGTGTAATGACGTAATCTTATGACTGGTAACACACATTATGGCACAAATTAATGTGTGTCTATATCCTTGGCTCAATTCTTCTACACTTTTTTTATATTATTATTATTCGCGAGTAAGAGAACGAAAACGCGTTCTCTTACTCGCGAATACGAAAGCAGTAAAAGTGAAGGGCTGTCATATAATTGCGCTCCAATTTAGTGAGAACCAATATATATCATTTACCAGAATAAGAAATCCTAGCAACCAAATTATACGGCCCAAACAATAATATTAAACTTTATTACATTATTATATGATGATCATATAGAAAAGATTGGATTTAATTCATAAATGACAAATTAATTTATACGATATATACTCTATTATTTAAATGTAATGGTTAAGTCAATTAATGAGATACTGTATCTCTCCAGGGCATAAATGTTAGACACAAAGTTCGAGAACTAATAGATTTCATACAAGACGATGAGAAACTTCGTGAGGAGAGAAAAAAAGCGAAGAAAAACAAGGACAAATATATAGGTAAGTGTATATATGTTTGTCTGTGTATACCTTATTAAATATTTATAAAGGTATATAATTTAAATACATATGTTCATAACGATGAAATATGTGTGAATAATAATACTATAATAATATTATAAATAACAAAGTGTAGATAGTAGATGTAGTCTATCTGTTTGTTACATTTTAACGATTGATCTATTTAGGCCAAAAGATTCTAATGAAAATTGACTACAATATTACTTTCTATGAAATTAATTTTAATTTAATGTTCAATTTTAATATGCAGGTATGTCGTCTGATGCGGCCGTGATGGGAATGAGGAGCGGTTCTGGGGGCTGGGGCGAGTATAGCGATCGCAGTAGCAATTGGGGTGAGTCTATCTATCTGTACAGAATTTCTATGTATGATGTATTTAATGTCTTAAATTTTGATTAGGGTTACAATTGTTCCTTCTATTATAAACATTGCGTTATAATGGAATTTTTAGTGAAATATTAAGAACAGCTGTGTGGTTTTAGGTAAAATTAAATACCTGAAACTTATTTGCATAAAATTACTATATTATTAATTATTATTAAAATTGATATCTATATTAGTTTCATCGAAAGTACCATTTGGGAGGTGAAAATGTACTTGTCATAAATATATGATTATTATAAGACTAGTTCCAAAGTAAAACACATGAAGTGGGATGTATATTTGATAATCAGATGTATTTTTCAGACGAACCAAAGGACAGAAGAGTAGATGAAGAAGAGGAATACGACAGGGACGACTCTGATGGTGATTACAGCCATAGGAAACCGCACAAGTTAGTATTAACAATGAAATCTTAAATTGATCCATCTTGGTTTCTTTTGTTCTACAACGGCCAAATGCGATGCTAAATGCTGAAAATAGTCCAATTTACATTTACCATTGTTGTGTAACAAGATACAGAATTATACACAGGCGGGTCATTTAACATAATAATATTATTTATGAGATTCCAATATTTCAACACTATTACAGACATCTTGGTTCATGGGTCGACCTGCATTATAAAATGTGTACAATTGTAAATAACTGTGAGAATAGTTTATAAAAGATACAGTGTTAAAAATTAAAAAGTAATAAAAAACCATAAGATAAGTTCTTGACAATCGAATGTACCTAAACTAATAACCATATAGACAATGATTACGAAGGTCACGCCCACATATTTTAGAATAAATGTCTAACGGTGCCGAATATGGGACCATCCATAAATTACGGTGCACGAATTTCGTATTTTTTATTCCTGCTCCCGTCCTTGTCACATATGGAATCTTAGCCCCTTTTATGACGTTACATATTTTGAAATTTGAACTATTTTTGTCGATAATACAAATTTCTTGTTTTAGTATGTAGAACTATTAGATCATGAAATCTGACGTTACGACATTTAGGAAACTTTACATAATACAGGCAGCTGCGACCAACATCATTAGAGTTATAAAAAAAAATTGATATAATTTAAAAATATGGTGGTCCCCTTTTTTTAAGCAATATATGTCGGGGTTATGTCAATATACGAAGATTTATAATCTTATATATAAAATTCTCGTGTCACAGTTTTCGTTCCCATACTCCTCCGAAACGGCTTGACCGATTCTCATGAAATTTTGTGAGCGTATTGAGTAGGTCTGAGAATCGGCCAACATCTATTTTTCATCCCCCTAATTGTTAGGGGTAGTCCACCCCTAAATTTTTATTTTTTATTTTAAGGCAAAACAACGTTTGCCGGGACAGCTAGTTACTATATAATGCAATAGAAAAATAGGAATATACTTATTTAAATAAACTTTGAATTTTAATTTTTTTCTACCACTCATTCAGAAAGCAGACTCATCACAAGAAGAAAGAGCAAAAACATGCGTGTTATTATTACTATTATAAAATAAATGTTGTAAAAAATGTTATACTGAACATTTTTATAATTTTGTTTAAAAACATACTGACATACAGCTAAATTCACAGAAGCAAGGAAATATTTATTTGATAAACAAATCAATTGTTATCAAACAATAACAAATCAATCTTCAGAGAGAACGTGTACCGCGACGCGGAGAGTGTTGGTGGTGGTGTGGTGGCAGTGGGTGGTCGCCAGTCCCCTGAACTACCCACGGGGAAGTCGCTCAACATCAGTCTCAAGAGCCCGCCCGCCAGGAAACCCAGCACTCCGGTTAAGAAAATAGACCTTGGTATGGAATTTATTTATTTATTTAAATTAACGTCAATGACTAAACTTTCGTCGAATACATAATACGTGTTTTATTATTATAAATATAAAGTCAATTTCCAACTTCCTATTGTTGTATCAATGATAAATTTTTGCATGTAGTTGGATTATCTTGATTTGAAATGTGTCACACCATTTGTCTGTGATTGAATCCTAAACTACTGAACCGTTATTGATGAAACTTTATATGTATACCGGTATATTTTTATACCCACCTCAAAATAAATTGCTTTATTTATCGACATATTTTTTTATGATTCGACATCATACAACCCATACACAAATTTTCGCCATTCTACCCATCAACCTCTATCTTTTAATAGCGATATAAATTTATATGGCAAAACGTTTGTCTGACAAACGTTCTATATAGGTATGTATCTGAACAGAAATATTCTGATGTTTTGTAGGTGCAGCCGCGACATATGGCAAATCGTCCGGACCTACTCCCGCGCCGACCCCCACCACGGTCCAACCGCGATCCCATACCGCACAACAATCACAAGAGCTGCTCGACGATTTGTTCAAGACATGCTCTGCACCCACTACTGGCAACCTCATGCTAGAAGACGACTTTGATCCCAGGTATGTCAAGTATTTCTAACTTTTAAAATAATGGCATCATCCGATTTACTCTCCATCCAATTGAAACGGGGACACAAATTACGACGGCCTGGGCCGAAGTTCGAACCCCTATTGGTAACTTCAGACTAAAGTCGTATCTGTCAGGCAGCTGCGACCAACATCATTAGAGTTATAAAAAAAAATTGATATAATTTAATGACTGCTTTAGTCTATATTAAAAAAATACATCATTTTGGCATCACTTCAGGATCTAAAAATTTATTTTAAAAATTATACGTACCAGGTTGATAGTTATTTATATCTCTATACACATCCTAAGATTAATAGAATGTGCAAATATGGATATAGAAAGATTTGTTCAATGATACTTGACTTTATAATGTAATATTTCATCAAGAATACAATACTATATGATATGCAGTACATTATAGATATGATAACTTTAACTTAACTGATAAAAACTCGAGTGTATTATTTAACAAATAAAATTATCATTAATAAATGAAAATATTAGTTGTTTAATCTGTATGGGCTATGCCTATCAATTTATTAAGTATATGACTATACAGTAATGTATCATGTAATGCAGTTGTATAAATTTGTGGATGTTGCTAATATATAATGTAAATGTTAATACATTTCAGAGCGGAAGAACAGAAACCAGCGACGAAAGAAAATGCGGAATTTGGCGAGTTTGCGAATGCGTTTGGTGCGCCTCCCGCCAGCGGTGATGACGGCTTTGCAGACTTCACCAGCGCGTTCACTGCGGCCTCACCACCCGCACCAAATGCAACATCGCTTGCAGCACCGGCCCCAGCGCCACCACCAGGTAACACCTGTGTTCCGTAGTGCTCCGTAGCTGCCATAAATTTTAATCCTAAGTTTGTTACTCTTTCACGCAAAAAATACTGAACGGATTTTGATGAAACTTTACAGTAATAAAGCATATGCATCAGAATAATATGTGGGCTTCGTTTTTTTATTGAAATTTAACGCGGGTGAAATCTGAAAAAACCCCTATTATGTTACAGTATAATTGTAACATTAGAGTTTTTTTAATGTAATTGAAATGTCAAACAATCTGATGAAAATTGTTTCTAATAGTGTGGATAATTAATCTGCATTAAATGTATTTATTTAATCACTCTCACCTTAACCGAAACAGCTTGTACAGCAAACTTCTTGGTGGCGTGTTGTGAGTCGTGACAATTTTCCCATTTTAATAAATTTAAAACCTTTTCACGATTCTCGTAATATTTAATATAATAAAACAGAAATAGGTGACACTGAGGTGTCCACATAAACTATTTATAACAAAATCTATCTCAGTTTAGTAGATTAAGAAAAATATACAGATGAGTCTGTTTTAATTTTTTTTTTTTTTGACAAAAGGAGTTGTCATTAATTTCATTGAATCCTTTTATTTTTCATAAATATTATATGCCATAATTCTTCGCCCATCAATAACAATTGTAATAATTATGAAATGTTTGTAAGTAAGTAGTAACCTATTTTATGTACTCTAGTCACATCTGGTAAAAACTATCAATCAATAATATTGAATTATTTTAAAATTATAGCGGCCGTCAATTCACCGGCATCGAACTTAGATTTGCTGAGCGATCTGTCGGGCCCGATGCCTTCGTTTGGAATAGAGTCGCTGGGCGGACAGCTTGCAGCTACCACTCTGCAGCCGCTTCAACCCTCACTGCAACCTGCTCATCAAGGTATGTTACATAAACTACCACTATAATTTAGTCCATAAAGAAATTTGGCAATTTTTTTTTATACTACTATGGTGGCAAACAAGCATACGGCCCATCTGATGGTAAATGGTTACCGTAGCCTATGGACGCCTGAAACACCAGGGGTGTCACGTGCCCGTTGCCGACTCTTAATTTTTTTAAAAGATGGATACCTCAATTGCAAAAGATTCATTAAACTTCAATTGTGTTTGTCGCGTAACGTACTTAAAAATGAGACTTTTGTCAATAGGTGAAAACAATTTTGTATTGTTAGATATAAACAAACTGGCAAACTAATTGTATCCAATTTCATGCAATCACATTATGAAACTAATTTCATTCATAATGTAAATAAAATTTGAATAATTTCAAAATAAAATCTTCCAAGGGGAATAAGAATATTCTGTAATGCCTGTTTATAAATAAAGGCGGCAAATACCATTTTCTCATCAGATTTCTCTTACTCTGTTGTAGAGAATGAGTAGAGAAGTAGTTATAGACCTCTTTAAATGGATCATGTTCAATGTGTTTTTACTTATTCGTTTTGTTATAGCATGTTTAAAGAATGTGCTAAATGCGATAGAGTAAAAAGATATTAAGAATAGACAGTAGAGAAAGATGTCCTTTTTTGTATTGAAAGTAACATCTGTAGCTTTCGTTGAGTCCTTTTAGCTTATAAACAAGAGAAAGAGGTATTTGTATTACCTGTTTTTATATATATAATTTGATTGCATGTAGAACAAAATAATTGTCTATACTTAATTACATATAAATTTAGCCTAAATACATGTGACTGTAAGCATGAAATCATTTACTCTGTATCAATCAGTTTTGGGCACATTCAGGTATTTTTTATTTACAGGCGAGGCAAAGACCAAACTGACTTCCCCGCAAGAACACTTACAGCAAGCTATCAAGAATTTTCTAGACAGTTTACAATCAATAGAGAAGATAAAGTCTGAAAATGATGTGAATATTATTAGAACATGTTTCGAAAATCTGAAAAATTATCTCCCAGGGCCAATCACAGTGCAGAAATTGAGTGGAATTGACGAAATACTTTTTACTAACGAAGTATTGGAGTCTTATTCACTACTGCTTAGTTGTGTAATAAGGATTTTGCTGCCCCACTGGCCATTGTTCAAAGATGAACTAATAAATCTCTTTACACCAGAAGAAAGCTTCAGACTTAGTCTTGAAATATTATTGACATTATGTGGTTTTCTTAAAAATGAAAGTACATTTGTATGTAAAGCGATTACGTTTCTTTTACTACGATATGTCAAAGGCGACATTGTATTAACAGGTGTTGTGGATTCCTGTGTCGTAGAACTGCCTAATGAAAAAGATATTTATAAACATCAATTGGAATGGGAAAATTATGTACAATTATTGGTAACTCTCCCCGAGAGGGTTGCAAACAAACTTGAAACCGAAACACCTAAGGAATTCTCCCATGAAAATTATTCGTACAACCTAGTTTTCCATATTATACGTTGCATAGACTTCTTAGCAGAAAGCAGTTATGCACAACGCGCTCAATATAATATCTCTTATTTATCTCAACTGTTATCTAAAATAATAATCAACTATAACATGAATGGTAACTCTGAAGCTATTATAAAATTTATTGATGTTCTTATAACATGGACTGACGATAAAGAAATGAGTAAATTTGTGAAAAGAAAGTTAATACAAACTATATTTCATCAGTTAAATCGACAAGCTATAGATTGCCTATCTGTTATTTTATTGAAGAAATGTCCCATAGACTATCGTAGTCAAGAGCAATGCATACTAAACCTACTTGGAGATAACATAAACACAAATAAAGATTGGGCTGACATTTTAACTAACAAAGTACCTTTTTATATTAAGTACATGGACTATAATGACACAACGGTCGCAGAGAATTTGATTTACTATATATCGACTGCTAAAAATTGCGTCGATACATTATCAGAACTTATTTTAAGACTAGCATATGTGTGGTCTGACGTTCAACTGAATAATGTTGGTAATATACCAGAACATGTATATATATCTCAATTACTAATTTTAGCTGTAAAGTATCGTGTCGTTATGTCATCTTTACGAAATATAACTTGGTCTATATCCAGATTGAAAACAGTTTTGTTTAAAGGTATGTCTAAACATTTAGATGTTTTATCACAAGAATTTAGATGCATTGGCATGGCAACTATTGAAATTATATTCAAAATACTAGCAGACCTAGACACATCTGATAAGGAAGCTGCAAATAGTCTCAATTTTGATTACGATGACATGGGAGATGTTTGTAAAGGAATATATAATATACTCAAAAGAATCTCAAACAGATGTTTAATTGATGTAAAACATGAAACCGCTCAAAGACTACGAGAAATAAATGTAAAGAATATTTTCGATACAATCATTAACAAAGTTGTAGATGAAGAGTATAGACCTGTTCAGAACACAATAGTGACTTGTGCTGTTAAAAGCCCAGAACAAACTAAGGAGATAGTGAAAACTATTATATCTGTTAAATTAGATGCCCTAGAGAAAAAGAGAACTTCTGATGTAGAAGACTTAGATTCAGACGACGATCTGCAACCTTATGATATGAGCAACGACATACCAGTTTCTGCTAAAAAACAGCCAAATTATCTTAGAGACCTTCTGGAGATGTTAGTCGAAGCTAAAGATGTGGAAACCTTTGAAGCAAGTCTCATAGTTTCTGAAGATTTAGTCGCTAGACAGTTGAAGACTGAAGATTCAAAATTAGCTATAGAACTTTTGAATTTATTTGTTCATTTAGATGATAAATATAATGTTGATAACTTTGAAACAATAAAATTTAACACGACTGTTGCAATAGTCTGTAGTCAACCGAAAGTTTGCGCCGAGCAACTATGCAAAGAAATTCATACCGATGTTGGGCGTTACTCAATAGCAACAAAAATGTTTATGCTCGATGTATTATCGGAAGCTGCCAATAGAATAGCTGATGTGAGACCACATGTCGATGAGAAACCTAAGGCAAAAGTCGTTACCAAAATTGAGGATGATATGCTGGCCGAGGAAATAATACGAAAGCGATTGATCAACAAAACTAGATATTTTCACTCGAAAAGACCACATCCGTTTGCAAAAGCTAAAAGAAATGAGTTTGCTGCTGTATCCGATAGTTTTTTCTACCCTCTAGTGGGAGGATTTGGTGTCAAACAATTAACTTTAAGTCACCATAATTTGAAACAAGATGTTGATAATATTCTCTTACTAAAATATTTGTCTGTAGTTGGAAATATAGTGCTTGCATCAAAAAATTGCCCTAAATGTCCGATATATTGTTGGGAAATACTCCAAATGATGACATACATGAGATACACTCCAGATCCAAGATTACAGTCTTGTGTTATATCTATAGTGGCTTCAGTCATTTTTGCATTACCACCTTCTATATTAAAATCCGAATTTTTCGACGTGTTAATTGATTTTAGACATTGGTTCGCTGAATGTCTCAATAACGTAGACTTGACTATGAGATTGGGCGGACCGAAGTCAGAAACAGCGATCTTTGCCGGACAAGTCCTATGGTTGTTAGAAAAAAGTTTAATGGACACAGATGAATAAAATTCATAAAAGAAATACATTAAAAGATGCGGAAAAGATTTATATTTTAATAAAAATGACTTCCAGACCAACAAGTGGAGATTATAACTGTTTCAATAACGTCTCAGAACTATTAAAAGTACTGAATGTTTTTGCTTGCCATATCGAGGCCATTAGTTTGCGTAAACTGAGAGATTAGTTGTAAGAAATTGTAGTATTTAAAAATCATATGTTAAGTTTAGTTGTACTGTAATTAAATACAACATATTAAATAAAAAAGTATATAAAAATCTCCTGAATTCGTTACCGAAATGTTCGATGAAATGTCGATGGTTTGGAATACACTCACATATAGTTTTATTTAGTCTTTAATCTCTTCCATTATGTGTATGAAATATTATTAAAATAGAAAATCAACAAAGACATTTACGAGCATTTCAATAACTATGTTTTTTTTTAATCCCTATCACTATTTGATATGAACTTACTTATTAAGAAACTTACCTAAGTTTTGCAGTCACATGTATTTTCGATTAATTAAATACTTTTTTTGCCTAATGTTTTCCATATACAATAACTGTAATTTCAAACAGGTTTGCAACCACTCAACCTACTTCAACCCATCGCACCGACTTCCCAGCAACAAACATCGGCTCCCATAGCGAACAACACGAAAACTTCAACAAAACTTGGTGCCACTTGGGCAGACACCTCCGGCGCTATTAATATAGATGTAGACAACCTGCTAGCCCCTAGATCGCCCAAAGCCGGTCCCGCGCCGACAATAAATCAGCTGAAATCCAGCCCAAACAGTCCAGCGCATAAATCTAATCAAATGCCCACCGCTGGGATGCCTGGCATGATGATGGGTAGCTTCTCATACATGCAAACTCCAATGAACAATAACTTTATCTCGCCCACAGCTGGACAGATGCCCAGTGGACAATTAAATAATAACATGGCACGCCCACAATTTGAGAATCAAAATTTCCTGCAATGATATTGGTTACTGGCAGACATATGCCAGAATGGTTAAGTTTTTTAAGTTTTGGGGCATCGAAGCATCTGTTATGCATTAGGTACATCTAAATTAAACATGTAATATTTTATAAAATGTCACTATGTTAGTGACTATATTCTTAATTAAATGCATTAGCTATATATAACAACACTTAGGAATTCATAACATTATGCATTCATTTATTAATCATCACGTTATTAATCCGTAGTGCTGTTCATGTATATAGGGGCTGATTACCACTTACCATGAGCTGGGCCGGCAGCTTATGAAAGATAAATATATGAATGAATATTGAAATGCAAGTAAAAGATTTTATATTAACATTATGTTTAGATCTTCGTTGCTCCAAATTTATAAAAATAAGTATAATATACAAGTGGGTTTCGTTGTAAATTAGGTAAATGAGAGTTTTATACGATTTTGATATTAAAACCAATTACGTTTTGAGTTCAATATCGGTCGAAACCCGCTGTTGTCAGTGGTGCATATCAACTTATATCACATGATATTATTTTATTAATCGGTCTCAGATTTTTAGCTCAGTGTATGTTTACCAAGAGGCAAAAACATATAATATACTTATTCTTTACTTTCTTAACTCTCTTAAATTAGTTGCTATTATTCTTTTCATCTATTCATTAAAAGGCGACATATTTATTTTAAAACGTATTTATTCCATATGTTTAAATATCTAAACCTAAAGAAAATCTATTCGAAATTAAAATCTATATAATGAACGTAACTTAATGAAACCTCTTGCTAAATGTACACATTTTTCATTGGAGTAAACAAAATATAAATATCCCGACTCTTAATAACAATATCATCAAAATGACATTGCTCAAGTACCAAATCAATTCATTAATTAATTAATATTATTAAAAAAACTTGCTTAATGAAATGAGTTAAAGAAAATAGTGCAATTAATTGAGAAAATTTTGAATTATTGGCTGATTATATAACATCGAGTTCTATAAAAAAAATTTGTGATACTTTGCAAAAAATGCAGCCAATTCATTTCCGTTGCCATATTTTTCTATATGGATAATTACTAAGGTACAGTAAACATTTTTTAAAAAATGTCTATGAATAAATATTAAAAAAAAAAGGAAATTAGACAACGCAATAAGTATTATAGGATATTCTAATTATCAAAGGGATAACAGCCTTAAATTATACTTAATGAAACTTACATTGTAATAAATGTCAGTTTTACACGCGTATGGTAAATTTTAATTGATAGAATGAAGGTGCTCGTTTCCAAATATCTAATTGTTAAATGTCTGTGCGTACTAAGAATCGCAATGCCGCGATCTGACATTTTTATTTATAATTGTTCAAAATGATGGCAAGAAAGTTTTTACAAGAAAATAATATGACCACCTCAAACAAGCATTCACTCCGTAAGTAATTCCGATATATCTATTTAAAAATAAGACATTCCACAATACTGCGACAATGCATTTCTCAAGACATCAAATAATGATATTATATCAAATATTTGTCAGAACAATAATTTTATAATCATACTTAATTTGGCATACCTACTGTTACTTTGTCATTACCTGAATAAACGACTACTATGAAATGGGGTATATGATATTCTTCCAAAAAATAACAATACACAATAGTGCAATTCGTAGGTGATCTGATTTTAATTTTTCATATTTTATATTAGTTATCTTAATAAATTATTTTTATTACAGACTGTAATATATAGTGGCCCTGTGTATTAAATTTTCTTTTAATTAAAGATAGATTCCAAATTGTAAGGTATGCCCGTACTACATTACATATACAATATAATAATATAATCAAAACAAAATAAACTAGTATTCTTGAAATCCAATAGTTCTTCAAGTATTTGAAATTTTTATTAATTATTATTTAATCCCTAATGTGGATAGAGTAATTACATGTACCTTCAAACAGGTTGTAGAGTTGTCTTTGGTGTTAATACGAGTATAGAGTATTTTTTATACCCGCTTTGACTTAGACGGGCTACACACGTCACTAAAATTAGGGACAATGTGAAAGCACTAGTGCTACGACCCTAGACCTTATTTAAGTGTTGTGTGTAGGCCGTTATATCGTATAGTAGTGTCAAAATTAGTGTACCTATATTGTTATTGTATTACTCTAGATAGTTGTAGGTTATTAAAAGTTGTATATAAATTACGATAGGTTTGATAACGATGCAACCAACTCTATGCAAATGCAATAAACATAGAACCCCCTTATGAATAAGTACGCCAACGTTCTATAAACTATTTTAGCTACTGAAATGTTTAGTCTAAGTTCACTCAAATGAAGAAATCATTTGAATGAAAGTGTGTTAGATAATGGGTTTGTAGAGGGTTTTAATTATTATGAATAAGGGAGTTACATTGTTAATAAAATAAAAATACATCTATTAATATATAATATTATATGTAATACTGATTAATCATAAAATGAAAATAGAATTACGAAACTGTATGGTTTTTACATTTGACTTCGTCAGTGATGTTTGACCAGACATTTCAATAATAATTGTATTTAAATGGAAAATTGTTTATATTAGATGTAAACATTGCATGGTATTTGTTTTATTGTATTAAAATATTTAGGATCACGAATTTTATATATTTGTAAATGTGATGCCTAGAATTTAATTGTTATTTGATCAAAAATATGTTATAATAATAAATTATGATAGAATTACTGACAACTTTATTTTTTCCATTTGTGTTTGAACTGTCAGAAATATTTCAATTAACTATGTAATATTATTATTTATATTATTAACCGGGTCTCGGTTGACGTTTCGACAGTTTCAGCTCGTGAAAGAAAATAAAGTAAATACATTTATTTGCCATAAAATTACTCATGTTAAGACTCTGTTAATAATATAAATAATGTATATTAAATACGAAAGTTTAAAGATAACTATGTAATATTAATTTATAAATTATGATTTAATATATTGTTTTTAAAATGGAATAACAACTTTATACAAATGGTTGAACGTCTACCTTGCAATATCTCTCTTTTTATTCCATTCTATTCATATTTATCATTGTTTATATAAGCTCATATCAAATTATATTTAGTGTATTTAGTTATTCATTAATATATAAAGTAGCTAATATGTTTGAAAAATAGTATTTCGTAACTAAAATTTAATAAATATATTTTTCTATTACGTGGTACCGATTTTTCTTAAGAGCACGTAACAAGGAAGATGATATTCATAGCCTTTGTCAAGGTTAACCTCACTTCACAAGTTAACACGGTCACATTATCTGCGCATATCTCTGGAATACGATGATCTTATTTTTTTATAATTCCGCATACACGGTTAGTCGACGTAGCGTCGTCGGTGTCAGGTGCACATATATCTTGCCCATATACCCTGGTCAACTTCTACTTATATCTTTGTAATGATTTCCCATACACGTGAAATACTGTTTGGATAATAATATGTATATCATCTTCGATGTGTTTGGTTCTTCCAATTAAGTTTATTAATATTTCATCTCATAAAAAGTATTATATACACACTTTATTTGATTATGTTTTAGATATTCTTTATTGCTTTTATCATTCGCCTATATCAATTTAAAAACAGCCTGAGTCTGAAATAATTCGTTTTAATGTATTTTTGGCGAAAATAACAGATGCATTTAAATCATTCCTGTTGGTCAGTGGGTACTTAATGTTGTGTATACGGCAGCTAAAATGATTTGAACACAGAAGGTTTATTATGTATTTAAATAGGTAACGAGATTAAGATATTTAAATACTAAACAACTATATCTTGGCGACTAAATCCATCAACTGTGGTGAAATTTGTTTATATTAGTAAGAAAGTTTTGCTTTTGACTCTTACTTTCTGCCTCGCTTTAAAAGACACAGAAATACTAGTACTTCTTCAATCTTTATCTGCGCAGAACTTGTTATTTTTCGTTGCCTTAGTAATAAATCTTACTAAGAACTTACACATTACTGCACAATGATATGTCGTTTAACCATTCGCTAACAGATAACGATTTCATATATTTTTTAAATATAATACCTTCTGTGTTTAAAAATATATTTTATTTAATTTTATTCTAACGAGGGTACTGGTAATGTAAGGGTCACATGCGACGCGTTTGGGACAAATATCAAATAACGTTTGGGACCAAAGCTCAGAGTAACAAGTTATTTTTCTGGCAGGCAGCAGGGCGTACAGGTAACGTGTCGTATGTGATTTATAAGAGTGCTGTAAAGGTGCAAATTGTGCATTTTATTTTAATATAAACGAAGAAGTCATAGATTAAAACTAGGCTGCTTGAACTCATTATCAGTCTATATATATATATATAATAAAATTAAAATGTAAATTATTTTATGATACAATATAAAGTCTGCACTTGATCATAATTTACGGTGTATTGTCATCTCTTTATGTTGTACTTTTAAAATTAGAGAAAAAATATGTCAATCTTTATAAATTGCAACCACTTTTAGTCTATGACGGCAGGCGCGCTATTTCAAATGTACATATAATTTATACTTTATTATAATTCTTCCATTTATTTCGAAATAATCGAGATTCAGAGCAATAATTGTGGTGTTTAAATTTATTTAGAGTTAATCATTGAGATGATTTTATTAGTTTAGTTTTATTTTTGAAATGTATATTGCAGTTTAGGATTATATCCGCACAATTATGTTAATGTAATGTATTTAACATTTTAAATAACATATAATTAATTTTATTAGTAATTTGAACTGTGTTAAAGCCCCTATATGGACAGTTTTAACTTGTTCAATTGTACAGTTCAGTGAATCGTTGCCCACAAACAAGTTTTATTTAAAGCTGGCGGAATGACGGTTAATATATTCAGTTAAAACTAGACATGTGTGGTGAGAGAAAAAATATTCAGAACTAATTTACCGACACTAAATTTTAAATTGTTCTAATTTCAAATGAGGGATAAATATAACACAATTATAAGTGTTGTTAAATAGAACTGAAACAGAATGTAATGATAAATATTATATTATTGTAAAAGAGTTACTTTGATTTTTTAATAGTATTGAATGTAGTTCGCCGATGCTTCGGTTCGACTTCGGTTACGTCAAGGACATGATGTAATAAATATACTTATGACATACCACATTGTTTGGTTTCAACATATTCTTGATCCTATATTTATAACTTCTAAAGTAGTTGTAGTTGGTAGACAGTATAGTTACATTCTAATAGCATTTACAAAAAAAAGTAAACCGGCTCAGACAGTAGTGATGCTTATGCAACACGAATCAAAAATCTAAAATTCTATTGAATATTTTGATTAATCTATCAAACAATACGTTTCATTTACTAAATTAACTATTCATCATTATATTAGTTTGACAAATTATGTATAATAAAAAAATAATGTAATCCAATAATAAATGTAATAGTATTTTAAAATAACTATTATTTGATATCGGTAATAAGTATTGTTATTTATATTCAATATATTGCGATTGTCTATGTTTGTATTGAATACGCAAGTGATTATTTTTCATACATCCCTAACATGGACATAGAGCTTTTTCTTAACGTCACTCGTTTATTTGGCTTACATATTTCGCCTAGTATGTTTAAATAAAATATAAATACAATTTAGTTAAAACCCACAAAAATCGCACAGATGTGTTACTACTACTAAAACGGAGTAAGGTTTTTAAAAACCATGGGTATTGTTATTGTTCTCTTCGTCGGGTGGACTAATTAAGTCAGGTTGTTTGCTAAACTGCAAAATAAAAGTCATGTATTAAAGCCATTAATTTATTCGTGGAAAATTGAGCGCGTATAAAACTAAACCTTAACAGAAATCCTAAAATTAATTTACTGGCTAAAATAAAAAAGATACATAAAATTATTCATTGTCATTGTTTTCTTAATTAAAATTAATTAATACTGTAAATTATTTTAACAAAATAAATTAATTTTCACTTGTTCATTTTACGACTCTAGATAATTCAGTCTTAAATTAAATAAACATGGAATTTATATATAAAAGAATTGGAATGAAACATAAGTAATTACACAATAATTATTATATAATTTAATTTGAGATAATGATGTTGATTACGATATAATTGTAATAACGAGGAGCTTGGGCTAACATTATTACAAATTAAACATTAGGCGATATATAAACAAAATAATTAAAAATATTAATTTGCTCTAACAGATAAAAAAGATAGTATATTTTTTGGGTCCAACAAAAACGTGTTTTATAAAAAAAAATCTTTAGTTTCAAGTCTTTACTTCATTTTTTAGTATATACTAAACTCTAATAAAGTAAAAACTTGAATTTTTGTACCCAGCGAGAAAAATAATTGTAAAATTATCGAGTTAACACAACATCAACAACTAATAAAAGTAAATGATTTATGCAAGCTGCAAGTGATTTCTATATTATTCATATCAAAATATCGATATGAAGAAATATATTTACGAATACAACGCATAATTGAATATAAAAAATTAACCTAATCTGATAATATGTATACAATTAGCATATACCTATGTATTTTGTTTGTATTATTAAAATATAATATCACTGTTTCATATTAGTGCAAAATCTTAGTGCTACAACAGGCCGCCAAAGGTGAGGCTTACAGAACTATGTTTAGTCCAATACTATTGTTGCCGACTACATACATAATTATCAATTCGTGTCTATCTAGTTTACACTATTACAACCTTTTCACAAACCGTATTATTGTCCTCTCAATCGATTTACTGAAATAATTTTGTTTCTAGAGCTCATTAAAATGGTGAAAATAGTGTATGTGTGTATTCTACTAACTACACAACTTACAAACTTCATATTCAAAACGAATTACCCGTCTGTCCTAGCTAATATAATGTCAATCAATTAAGTCTCACAATAATCGGCTATTTCATATTTGTTGTATTTCGTCGCCGTGAACACTTTAATTCTTGATGAATATCAAATACGACAAAGAAAACTCGTAGCTCCTAATGCATGAGTCTTTACAAATATCAGTACTAATTAAACTTAAATTCCAATGTAAGGCACTTCAATACAAAATAAAGAGATTCCCTTAAAATTATCTGTATAAGAACACTGTATACCAATATACCATAAACATTTCAATTGTTGCATATATAGAATTTATTTAGATAAAAAAATAATTGAGTAATAAAATTTATTAGGTACTACTACTTTAATTAATTATAAATATACAGTTACGTACCATGTTCTCTACAAAAATGTTTATGACCAAGAAAACATGATAGCTTGATTACTCATAATAGCTTTCAGTATAATTTTAGTATTTTATTTCATAACTATGAACACAATAACAATTGGTATACAATGTTCTACTATAATGTTATATTAATTTACGAGTAAAACAAAATGAGTGACTAATTCTGTCAGTATATATGACGGGGTTTCAGTGAGGACGAAATAATTAAGTCACCTCATGTAATTTATGTATTCATAAAGTGATCACAAACATGATGTAAGAAAAAAAACTTGAAGTTGTTAAATTTTTTGATTCACAAGTTTTGAATCATTGCTTTCATATTTTATTTCTATAAAATCAAATTAGCACCTAAATATAGCGGACTGTCAGAAATAGTCATTCGATATTTAAAACATAATTAAAATAATCAAGATTTTATTAATCATTAAATAGAAATTATTGGTATAATTGCGATATTTATTTGTAAAAATTAATTAATATCATTTTAATATTCATAGTGGCTCAGTGTTTAAAGCGGACTGAAAGAATGTCGAGATTAAATTAATTACAGTTCATAAAATCACATTCAATTATTACTAACTTAAATATATAATTCTGAGATTATTTCCGTATACAATAAAAGATAACACGAAAAATTGTGGAGATAAAAAAATATTTTCATCTAAATAAATCATTCGTATAATAAAATAAAACTGTAATAGGTATACATTTCAGCCACATTCTAGATTTATAAAATAATTTATCCACACCATTACAATGGTGTAGATGATTTTTTATGCAGAAATACGTATCGTAAATATATTTAAGAGTGAAAAAGTGCGTCATTTGAAACAACAACATTGAAAAGTTCTAATTCAGTGAATTAAACTTCTCAAGAATAGCTGCCATCCTTGGAATCCCAACGCTGCATAATTTGTCACACCAGACAATTTTAATATCCATTCAATATCATAACATGAGTACCGAGTGCAGCTTAGTTCAGTAAGTAATAAAATATTATTATTATTCGCAGTGGTCGTACCAATCACCAAAATGTGTGAATCACTTAGTAAATGTTTCAAACTAAAAATTGATTTGTTGTATAGTAAAGTATAGTAAATTACCTTTTACAATAACTGAATTGATTTTGAAAATAATTTTATTTGTACTGATAACAATGTTGATAACATCTCAAGTTGATAGCACTGTATTATTTAAGAGTGTTATAAGGGTTATGAGACAAAACTATTCTAAATTTGATTCATGGTGGTTTATATTTTCATTAAACTAAATTATCAACATTTTTGTTTTTGTATTTAGAGAGTTTTAAAGGATGAAATTTAAGAATTCAGAAACATCGTTGTATACTTTCTGATAATGAAAAATCATTTCATATATGTTTATAAAATTACACTGCATCGTTGTGATTCTTAGCGAGGATATGTATACCTATTTACGACACTTCACATTCACTTACCCATTAAAGCTACGTTGAGTTGTGAGAGATCTGATTTTAACGTGCTAGATAGTTGCAGTATACTCAAGCCTCCTTCAAGGTGTACATGATGCTGTCATCAAAGCTAGCCGCTACTGTGTAATTCTTCGTTGCGAGGAATTCTGTGGTATGATTGCGTGCGACGAGATCTGCAGATCTGAACTCGATCACCTATAAATTAAAAGTAAGTCTATTATTGATCTATTTACAAAGTACATATTGTATTTGGTCTACTTATTACAGATCAATGGGTTTGAATACACATTACACTTTATAGAAACAATTATTAATCATACTGACATTACTGGTCTAGCGGTTTAACAATTATTAAGCACACTGCTTTACTTCTGATATTCGCGCGTTTGATTGCTCGCACATTTCATTCATGAGTATGAGTGTTTGTCTTGGTGTTTTCTATTATATTATGTATGTATTTACAAAAAAAATATCTAATTATACTTATGAGTTGTTCGACAAAATCTGTTTAGCTTGGAACTAGACGGTGTGGTGTGAATTGTGCCGGAATATTAATATTATTATACAAAAAGCTATGTGTACGTAAAGCTATGTGTAAGTAAGTGTCTGTTTGTTACCTTTCATGTATCATATCAATAAATAATCTTAAGGATATATGTATGTAGATGAAGTCGATGGTAATATACAGCTCATTGGCAAATAATAAATTTGATATGTTACTAGATTCTAGACTGTCTAGATTCCAAGTTCACATAGATTTTAGAACCTGTAAACTATATCGTTATAAAAGGGATGTTTTCCAAGATACAGGATAAGAGACATATTAATCTGAATGACAATTCATAGGTAGTATTACACTTTTATGGTTGATTATGTGATGTCCGTAGTAGACATCACGTTATTATAAGACTTCCGCTGTACATTTATATAGGCTACAGTTACCGTTTATCATCAGGTGGACCGTTCAGTTTGTTTACCATTACAAAAAAATGTAAAGTAGACAGCAATACCTGCAGGCGCAGGTTGGGCGTTCCGAAAGGTACGTGGCGCAGCGCGGGTGGCACTGTAGGGCCGTCCAGCACCACATACACGGCGTGGGTGGCGTCCGCGGCTAGCAGCATAGTGTACAGTGGCAGGCACAGTACGCGCGAGCTAAACGCCGCTTCGGGACTCTCAGACTCGTGATATGTGACCTGGTAGTTATTTTTTTGCTTTAATTATTAGCGCATATAGGTTCCATGTTATATCGGTTGACAGTATGTACAGAGATGTAATGCAATTAATTAAACCTAACATATTAAATGTTTACAACATCATTCGTTGGCGTTTCTATGTAACAAATAATTCTTCACGGTAATTCAATTTCTTGCTCATTGTTTTTGTGATGAATGTTCCGTTGAATGAGTGGTAGAAAAAATATGAGTACTCAAAGGAGCTTATATTAAGTTTAATTGAATAAAGTTTATTTCTATTTCTACTTGTGAAGATACTGCATTTTTTCTAATTGAATGAGCTTCAATCGACAAAATGGACTGCCTATTTAAAGCAAACCATGCGTCGATCAAGTTGTTAATTACGTAAAGTTATGTGTAATACAAGTTGTAGACCATTGGATGAGTGTACAGAGTAGAGTAGACAAAAGGAATTTGTTACTTATGTAGAGCTGCAATTACATGTAGTACAGAGTAGTAGATAAAAGTAATAAAAGATATCATACCTCCCTGGGATGCGGCGTTGGACTGAGGCAGGCGTGTAGTGTGGCAAGTGCTCGGCCCTTGAGTGAGAGGTAAGCTCGCGCGGCGGCGCGGGCCGCCAGTCCTGCCCAACCCCGCGCAGCGCCCAGGTACAGGGTGCTAGGGTCGCGAGGGCCACTTTCCAATACCTCCACAAAAGTCCCGTTGTACTGCAATAGTATTAAGTGAGCTGTAACTTTACTACCTTAGTAAAGGGTACCTTGTAAAAAATATTTGTATAAGCTTATCCTCACCTCACTTAATCAAAGTACACCACTTTGATTAAGTTAGCACATGAAACTAATGTATATGTGTGTACTGAAACAACTGTGAAACTAAAATTTAAACAATTTGTTTTGCTCTATAAGTAAATCAAGGAGGCTGTTAGCCTACTTTATGACAAGTAGTAATTTTCATAAGGTCTATTCTATCAGCTGGGCAGCTCAAGACAGACATGCACGCAACACCACACACTACATCCATCCGTGTTTCCGGAAGACTAATGTACTACCTTCTATTCCTGTAATTTCACTGAATTATAAAGAATATGAACAAGAGAGAATAACAATAAAGCAAATATCCCTCGAGAACATTTGTCCTAAGTTTTTGCATAGGTATATTTTTTGGGTACCAAACAATCCACCTTGATTTTCCAACTGTTTACCATTAAATAGATTACATTTTGATTTTCACAGATTACAAAGCCTACATTTAGTACTTACAATCTCTCCATATAACTGATCCAGCACTTTAACTGATCTTGTAGGTGTGTGTTGTTGGGGCTGATGATGTGAAACACGTGGCGCAAGATGTAGCTGCCGGACGTACGCCACCAGAGCTGGCGACTCCTGAGGGATGCGGGCCAGTTCATAGTCACGTGACATATTTACACGGAACTGTTGTGCGCCCATTGCTGTAGAAATAATATCGACATTAATATGGAAATTAAGAATTGTTTTAGTTAAATCAATTCAAATTGCTGTAGGACATTTTAGCCACTTTTGAACAACAAAATTATTTATGAATGTCAAATCCATCTTGATAAATTCCTGGTCAATTTGTTATGATGGGCTAATTTACCTAACCTCATTCTCATCTTATTAAGCTCCACTGGTACCCCCGCCAGCGTAAACTATTAGTGCAGACAAGTGTACTATTCCATAAAAATAGAATAAAAAAAGTTTATACACAACTTACCAACATTGTCCATGTATATCAGCAACATAGTCATTACAGTAACGAAAGTTAGCACAAACAAAACAGCAGGTAGCAACCTCCTGTACAAGTCATTTGGTGATGTTTTAGTGAATGTAGGCACCGCCATCCGTGGAGAGACTGCCGCAGGAGGTGTAGATGGCAGAACTACTGTTGTAGTTTTGTCTGGAATGGTTTTCATTGGTACCTCTTTTGGTTTATCAGCTTGATTAGTTTGTTCTGTTGGTTGTTCTTCAGGTAGTGGATTCTCTTGAATTTTCTGTAGAATAATAAGCAAGTTAATAAAGAAATAATGCTGGATAACACCCACCAAATTAAATTCAAACTCATTTCATCAAATTTCAGCCACTTACGCAGTCATCTTATTATATATAATTATACGCATATTTCTTAATCAAAAAGTATGAGATAAGCATAAAACAGGCAGTCACATACTGGAAACTTATCCCATTTGATCTTAAAGATCATGTTATAACTAAAATTTATAATATAATGCTATTAATATCATATATATATAATATAATAAAATTGAAGTGCTGTTTGTAGTATCAAATTAACAGCTTGTAATTAAATGCATATGAAAGTAAATGAAGTACTTACATCAAAAAATAATTATACAAAATATTTGTGCTCAGGCACAAGAAGAATAATCAGTTATTCTTGCTGAAATAGTTAAACCAAATTTGATGCAATATTCACTAGCAATAAGCTAATGTTTAAGGAGTAACTTAAGTATTTTTATTCAAGAAAATTTTATTTATTTAAAGAAAAACAGAAGTTAAATTTCATGCAGACAAAGTCGCAGGTTACAGTTAAATAGTAAACCAAAAGCTTGTTATATGTATGAAATAGAAAAACATAATCAAAGTAATTTCAGAAAAAGTGAAACACAGAGTCATTTATGTTAATGTTTCCAAAGAAACAACATAAGTTTTTATTGATATAATACATTGGAATTTAATTAAAATATTTTATACACACTTGAATAAACATAGTCACATTCTTATTTGGTATAATCATAAGTACAAGGAATCATAATGATGACTTTCAAATTAAAAAGAATTGTACTACTAATAAACACAATAAAATAGATCCAGGCGGGTCTCAGGTCCACCAATCCATGTTTATGCATAAAAATGTAATTACTCACTGTGTGTGTGTATAAGGTGTGGACTAGACATAAGTACTTGATATTAATATCAACTAACATTTGGTAAATTATATGTTAGGCTATTATCAAAATAAAAATGAGGGTCAGCCTAAAATGATTTTGAAAAGTACAGGATATCTTTTTAAATTTAAAGCACAAGAAAACATGAACACTAAATTTTACAATATTATTTTCACAAAAATTTAACATACACAGATTTTTGAAAATTTTTGTAAGTTTTGCACTCACGATTTTATGCCCTCATGCCAAAAATTGTCATAGACAAAGTAAAAATACAATGAGGGAATTGTTTGGTGAAACCCCTCAAGTCAGGAAGGCAGGTGTACGTATATTATAAAAAACTTTTCTTCACTATTCCTGCATGCATCCATACCATTGTAGACTTCACATAACACACATGTGGAATTAAATATAAAAAAGTACCAAAAAGTATTACCTTCTCAGCCATAATTGTTATTTATGTTGACTTTGAAAATACTGAGTAATCGGCGATCAACAAACACTACGTTTAAAAAATACGTGAGTATAACCTTTTTTTAAAATTCACAGGCAAGTCATTGTAGTGTTACTAAAATATGCTTACTGTACGCATAGTTAAATTATTCTGTATATAAAATAAAACAAGTTTATATAAATTAAACATAAAAACAAGATATTCTTAGTAAAGAATGGGAGTTAATTAAGAATATGAAAGGTATTGAAATATTTTTTTTAATTTACCTGTGGCGATCAATGTTGCTAACACGAATAATATAAAATTTGCTGTACTACTGTGAAAATTGTGTTAAAATTATGTCAATTGTTGTAAAATAATACAAAACAATATTCTAATATTTTCCAATGTAAAATAAAACGTCATTTAATTTCAAATCTTTAATAATCAAATAAAACTATATTTTTTCTGTTATATTCAATAACATTATCAAACGAAATTTATATCTTGATCCTTAGCCGATCCTTCAGGTAGTGCGGCTAGGGCAATTTGCCTATTGGTGAGGTAATGTGGTAATTAATTTTAGGGTACAATGGGACTGCCATATGCCAAATGTAACATAAAAATTACTAAATTTACAACATTGGTAGACTAAGTGTGGCCAGATTAAAATTAATAATAGTGCTAAAAGTCCGACTATGATCTTTTTATTCAAAAGCAATAAACACTTTTTTGCATTACACACGTTGATGCACACTGCACACTTAATGCAGGATAAAAGTTTTAAATATCTAATTAACCGGTCTTATATTATAAAAATATTATATTTTTATACTATACTACACGCTCTGAACCAAATTGTGTGAGAGCTAACCATAAAAAATATTTAGTAATACGACTTTAATGAGTTAACATTAAAGTTAAAGTTTTAAGAGAGGAAAGAAAATTCTTAATATTTTTTATTATATTTTTACATAATAACAAATGTTTAAGATGTAAAATAAACGCTCTCCAGTGTCGACGAGCTGAGTGAAACTGAACTCTATGAACTGTAGAAAGAGAAGAGGACAGGACAGGACAAATTGACACATCACTAACACACACAGTAAAAAAACACAATTCGGGTAACTTGCATTAAAATCGAATTGAAAACTGAGTGTAACAAAATTGGTTACAAATAGGTAATTTTTTGGTATATTTCTTCTTCCTTCCAATTCTCTGTTATGATATTTATCATTGCTGACTCAATTGTAGCTTTTTTGATTGAATTGCTAAATTTTGATCTCCTGTTTACATTTAACGTGTTGACAGCAGAATTTGTAAGATTTATGAAGAGTCGGTCTATGTCCCTGAGTTATACCTAAATCTTACGATCCGAATTACCGACATAGCTGAGGTGCACATTCATTTGCATCTCAGCTGTGTCTAACATCACCTTGGTTAAACAATTGTGCCTACTGCTAATGACTAGGCGCTAACACAAACGGTATATTTTTTAATATTATATAGGTACTATATGTTATACCGTGTCGACTATGTCATTCGATTCGACCAATGGTTGCTGTTCACCGCTGTCTTTGAAAGCGCGCTAATAGAATGGCGACTTCGGCAAGGGCCGCTCGGTCTGAATTACAAGGAAAGCTCAGACTATGAGATCTGAACCTTCTTTGTATGTTTTTCGGGCAAAATAATTAGCCAGGTACTAATATCGGTGGAATTGTGATAAAAAGACATTAAAGTATATTTTTAAGGAAAGGTCTTTATTGTCAAAGAGATTAAGTATAAATTACATAAAAATAACAGCAATATATTATTGAAAGTGATCATATTGTTGCTGTTACTACAAAATTAAGTTTAATAGGTATATACAATATAGATACATACAAAAAGCTTTAAGATTCTATTTATAGAGTTAATAGGACTAAAGATGAAAAATTTGTGCAACATGATATAGGTACCTATACATTACGGAAGTATATAGGTAATTACAGCGATTTCTATTATAGATATAAGGCAATATTTAACAAAAATACTAAAACGGTTACGCATGAATTTTAAAGTTTTACCTTTTTCCAAGATATCCTTGGCAAAGGGTAATGATGAAAACAGTAATTGGTCTATATTTCATATTTTTGACAGTCTAATATAAAATAAAATTAATACCTATGCGCTAAACGTATTTCATACTCATACTGTTCATTCTTGGATAAAACATTCCAAAATTTCCTTTATAGGGATAAAAATCAAGGAATAATAATAACATATTTTAAATGTTATCTTAACTGTGCTTATATTTACCTATGTATCCGTATAAAATCATTTTAACTTACACAGTTACAACAATACACTAAAATGAGGCCATCTTTTCTACGTCAGAACAATTTTATTAATTACAAAATAATCATCATGTTTTCCGTCCGTACATCTAAAAAATAACAAATGTAAATAACCATATGCCTACTTGTACCGTACACAATGAATACACAATAATATATGCATAAATACAATTACAGCATGATGTCTGGAATAACATTATTAATACCTAATCGGTCTATAGAATGTATACGGATACTACATAATTATATTTTAACGACAATTAAAATGTAGCGAAATAATGCATTCATATTAAAAGATTACATGGACGGCCACAAACATACAATATTTTTTTTTATAATTATAAATTATTTTGCACGATATGATCAACAATTTAATAGATATGTAAAATAATTAGGGTAAATAACCATTCCATTATGAGTTTATGATATTATAATATTTGTAATTATATATCTCTCCAGTATTCTAGAATGTTAGGTACTGATATTTTGTTAGATATGATTTAAGTTTAGTAGATATTGCTTTAAATACGAATAACACTAGATAGTATAATCTGAGTTAATACACAATTAAGCGTTAATATTATTAGTAACGCCCCTTTATTTAATTAGTTGAAAAAACCCTATTAAGGGACATGTCATGATATGACAAATAGAAAATCAACAATACCTACTTCAGAATGTAGTGAAATGTATTAAAAAAAAAGTCATATATAGTTTTACATGAAAAACATATGTAAGTATATTAACAATAGAACATATTTGATAAAGAATGAGAATATTTAAAAAGAATTAGGTACAAGCCAAACATAAGGCAAATCGGCACTCGCTCAGTAATTGCACAGTATAAACTTGTATACTACATGTATACATACAATTAACTATAATTATACAATATTAACTACTAATAAAACTCTTATAAATAACATAAATTTGTGCATCAACATCTACAACTACAAAGTGTAAAATGATTTAAAATTACTTCCTATCTCTTTCTATTAATATAATTTATTAGGTAAATTGTTCAGAAATAATTTTTCACTAAATTTTTTATATGCGTACACTTGGAAACATACAATTATGAGTTATTGATATACAATTTATATTTTAAAAGACTTTTTATTGTCAAATTTTTAACATCAACATTGTTTAGGTAACTTTTTCTTTTATAATTATTGTATTTTTTACTTATCTATTGTGTTACTTTACTTATTCACTGTCTTGGAAAAAATAACAGCGGATAATCAAATTTTAATATTAAAAAATAACTACTACAAGAAAGCTTTCTATTATTAGTATTTCCTAAATAATATACTATACTTAATAAATACAGACAGCAAAGAATAAGTATAAATTACTTAGTCTCACGTAAATATTTGAATACATGAATAAAAATTATTTATTGTTCTCATAGAAAATACGGGTACATACACTATTATGTACATAAATATAAAAAACATACAACAATGAGTTTAAAATATAATTCATAATACAGATATCTTAAATGGATAATCATCATTAGTATAATGTTTAAAATGGTAGTATAATTTTGTCCTAAATTTTGATAAACACCTATAAAAAATCCCCCATTTTCATAAAATTCATTAAAACAAAAGTGGTCTATAATAGGAAGTTGTTTTTTCCGGACTTGTTATGGGACTGCCATGTTGAATATAGATTATTCTTACATGACACCTAACTTTAAAAAGTATAGTGATAATAACATCAAAGTAATCCCGTTATTACTGGTTAATCGGAAATAATAATATATAATTGAAAACCTCTACCTTTATAGATAGTTGCTGTATACCTACCTAAGGGTATGAATTTAGAATCTGTTAGTAAAAGTAGACAAAGGAAATTGTATATAGGAGTTGGAAGCTAGAAAACAAAGCATTCATAATAATGCATTATAAGTAAAAAGAAACTGGCTATAGGTAGTTATTTATAAGTTGCCGTTAAAACTATTATGTAAGCGATAATTAAAATAGACGACATTATTGTCATTCGTTAATAATTCACAGTAATTATAATTACACTAATTATTCCTTACTTACATGTTATAATATAAACAGTCCAAAAATTTAAAAATTATTGTCGTTAATTTGAAATCTTTATAATCCATTTAGAATACTGCGAATTTTTCAAATATTTCCTACCTACCTATAAATACTTAGGTATGTAGTAAGTAAATCTATATGTAATACGGTATTTTATTGTCTACCACAATTTTATTTATCTCATATATATTCTTATATTTAAAATTTGCAAATTATTTGTCAATAGTAATTTTATAATAAAATGTTTTAGGTGTATATATAATGTTATTTAACTATTTTAATATTATTATTGGTAAATTATTGTCAAGCACAAATGCACGTTATTGTTCCAATATATATTAAATATATAGTGTAAAGATTTTATGAAGTATTTTAAAAAATATTCATTATCAAATCAATTATTGTCCAATCATTTTTATAAACTGCATGATGACCTTGGTGGGCTAGCGGTCTAACACACCGGCTTATTTCCCATTGTCGCGGGTTTGCTCACCGCGCAATACATAGATACATATAGTTATTTTTATTTTTTTAATTATATGTGTTTGTATTAGTGTTTTAGTATATAATATTTTTCAATATATTAAGTATGTATATATATATATAAAAGTATTTAAGTGTCTCTATCAAGGCTGTCTAGTGCCCACAGTACAAGATCTGCTTAGTTTGGTACTAGACGATGCTGTATCAGTTGCCCACGAATGTTAATGATATTATAGGTAAATTATTGTCAAGCACATATGCACTTTGTACCTATAGTATTCTAATAAATATTAAGTATTGTGTAAAAAAAATATGTAGGCCTAGTATTCTAAAGTAGATGGAGTCGATTATTGTCGATTTTTCCATAAATTGCATGCAGTCTGAGCATATACTGTTATATAATTTTTACATTACATTTTACATTTGTGGTAACTAGTATTCTAAAAATATTAATTTTCATATAGATTATTGTCGATTTTTCCAAAAATTGCATACAGTCTGAGCATATACCTGCTGTTATGTCATTTTTACATGTTTCATTTATGGTAACTAGTATTCTAAAAATATGAATTTTCGTATCGATTATTATTGTCCATTTTTCCATAAATTGCAAACAGTCTGAGCATATACCTACTGTTATATAATTTTTACATTACATTTTACATGTTTCATTTGTGGTCACTAGTATTCTAAAAATATTAATTTTTATGTTGATTATTGTCGATTTTTCCATAAATTTCATACAGTCTGAGCATATACTGTTATGTAATCTTTACATGTTTCATTTGTGGTACCTATTATGAAATTTGAGATTGAGTATAGATATTGACTTGTGATGATATTATTTGTCTTGTAAATAGATATATGATATGATGTACCTTGTTCAATTCTTGAACTTGATATATTTTTAATGATTTTATTGCTATCAAATGTTTGTATATTTTATGTTTTAATAGGCATTTATATCTATTTTATATGTAGATATCTATTTTGTTCATGCCTTTAGTCGTACTTATTAGATAAGTTTGAAGGTTTACGCAGATGTGGGTTATATATATACATGGTAGTAGGCCGCTAACACAATTTTGTCTTCTGCTGTTTACCATGTCCATCAACTGCGTAGGCCTTAAGTACATAATGTCCATTGCCTTATTTATGCGCTTATTAATAAAAATTGATATAGTCATTGACATTATACCTGTACATGTACATTACAGCACTGAGTCAGCAACCCCTTCCCCTGCTCCATTCTAATACACTTGACCAACAAGAAAAGTATAACAGATAGGTCATCTAATATTATATAAGTATCTATGTACAACAAATTCTGAATCATACGCTAAAATATATTTACTATTCATGTAGTCTTTGCTGATTTTGGTAGATAGAATTTTGTGAAAAAAGTCAATCATGACTTTTCATCATGATCTTCAAGTCTGATATAAATTTTGATTTCCTGTGCATATTTTTAATATATATTAAAAATAAGCCTACAGCCATTATAGAGTTTGGATTGTTACATCCTTTCCATTACTTCTTGTACTATATGTAACAGATATGTATATTCGAGTAGATACCTAAAATATTATCCATTATTCTTTTAAATATAGCCAAGTGTAATTAAAATGTATGATTGCTTTATAGAATTACATACAACATTTTATCACAAACATGTATACCTAAATCGACGTGTTCTTATTGTCATAATATTATTGTACTGAATATTTAATAAAAATTATTGTCACTATTCTTATATTACTACAATAAGTAGATAAAAAGTGTTACTCATGAAAGTTAATAACAATTTTGATACCTTGTATCAATAAACATCTCATATAAAATTGCTGTTAACTTTCTACGATACTATACAACAAGGCCCGCGCTTAAAATTAGCATCAGGCTTTATATAAAGAGGAACATAAATATAGAATGTTAACAAGGTGAAGCACATAACTTGAGCGTTGAACACCATGTATAAATTACACAAAATACCTGCCCGTCATTGGTCAATACTCAAGTCACCTGCTAGAAATATCATCTTATTCAATATTCCACTGGGGTGTACGATATTGAGCAGAAATGTGATTGTCCTTTAACACGTCGACTTACTACGCTTCAAGCTCGATACCTTACCTCACGGCGAGTAACGCCAGCATACCCAAAGATGTAAGGCCTTTAAGAGTGGAGGCTGAATTGAGGGACCGACTGCCAGGCGTAGGTACCGGAGTACCAGGGTCAACTACGTGGATCTTCCAACCCAAATTGTTGTGGGTGTAACACTGCAAAAATGAATGGTATATTTATTGATTATCATGGCGCAGTGGTGATAAAGATAGGTTCTGAATTTAACATTTGATCAGGCCATTTAGAATAACTGTATTTGCCGATTAATGATGACAGTGGGGATAAAATCGGATTTACCTATGTATGCGAAATCTGCCTTTTTAGGACAAAAAATTGATTATTTTATTGTTATCATAAATTAACATGTCTCACTTTTTGTACATAATTTCTCAATCTTTCATTACTCATTTTCTTACTTGTAATTTATTTATTATTTGTATCTGTATTATGTTTTTTACTTTATATTTGTTACATTCCTGTTAATTAGATATGGTTTGGTTTTAAGGATATGTTTTCCATGTGATGTGATTCCATTTCATGTGTGTTTTTTACATGTGATATAGACATATAGGGGTAACAGTAACTTCTGCGATGCGTGTAAAGGCGACAACTGCCTTATTTGGGCTAACTTAATTGGGTCGAGCTTGTTAGTAGTACCAATAAAAAAGTTGTTATGTGTTCAGACTTACTTGGTAATACACGAGATCTGGTGTCTCGTGTGCGACCGTCCAGTTTAATACTGCCGGATCGCCAGAGTTGCACTCCAGCTGTAGTGTTTTCATATAGTCTTCAAATGTCTCAGTCATGGCTGCTTGGTCAGTGGTCTTGTGAGTCCACTCACAGTAACGACCCACTGTTGAACCAAATACAATATGAAAGTATCCTATGACTCACTTTAAATAATTATTATATGGTCTGTGGTTATTGATACTTCATTTTTTATTTCTTATTAAAAAATAAACGTATCGCTATTTCACTTATTAAGTATAAATACCTCAAACCCACGCATGCAAAATACATTTAATATGAGACAACAATACACAGGACAAGTCAAACAAACCAATGAACGCTGTAAGCATTCTCAGCAGCAGTGAAGTATCGCGGCTCAGCTTTTGGCTATATATATAACAATATATGTATACATATAGGTACCAAGAATAATCTTACCGGCAGTAGGATATGGGTATCCTTCGTTATCGTAAGCGACGCCGGCGAATACGCGTTGTTTCCTTTGGTCTTCTTCCTTCTTTTGTCCAAATCCCCCTTCGGAGGAGTCGCTGATGTAGAATGGGTGGTACCTGGAATAAAATACGATATATTATATAAGTACTTATATCATTATTATATGGTATGCTTGTATAGTTTATGTTATAAATAGTATATAGTTTAAAAAACACTTAATTTTCAGGGAATCCAAAATTTATTTGTTTGAATATTGACCATTAGATTACTGTAGGTACTATCTACCTACATTTACGTTCATATACATAAATTTTAAGTTATCTATTTATATTATAGCTGGACTCTACTGTTAAAATTATATCTACTATACCTAAGCGTTAAAAAATGAAAAGTTTAGAAATTAACCAACTCACTTAGCTGGGTTTGTCCTGTCATCTCCACCTTCTACGAAGAAAGTGTAAGTCTTGCCTCGTTCAACGTACACTTCAGGTATAAGTTGATCATTGATGTACCATGCTATACCCCATGATGGATGGCCTGAAGGATTTATTATCTATGTTATTAACTATAAATCAATATTTTTATTCATGCAGATTCAGTATCAGTATTATTACAGATTGTATTCTATTGTTTCGATTTCTATAACTAAAGTAGAAACTACTAGCTTTATATTTATCAATTTTTTATACGAAGATAACTAATTGCTTATAGTGTGAACTACATACAGATTTTAAAAAAATGATACAGCTCTGAAAAAATGAAATGTGACATTTCAACTGAATTAATTCTTGAAAATTCATCTTTTTAAATAATAAAAGAAATTATAAAATATTTAATCTAAAAATATAAAATATTCAATTAAAAAATCTTTTGTATTTTATCTTCCATATTTAATTTCTTCAGAGCTTTCTCGTTTTGTTCAACCTATAATTATAATTCATACTATAAGCATAATACAAGCAATCTACGTATAAAAATCGTTAATTTTAGAGGTTAATTTTAAATATATAAATTACTTTTTCTAAAAAACTAATAAATGCTGTGAGCGACTATAGATAATTACCATATGGCAGAAATCCATTTGAGATGTCATTGTCTGCATGAAAGTAACGAAAAATAATATAATGCAATAAAATAGATTCAACGTACATAAATTATTTACTAAATTTCATACAAATAGTAGTGTTTCTCCATGAGCAACCTGTATTAAATAACCACGTGATTATTGTTGATTATTCCATTTTATTCTCTATTTTATTGATACCTACTGAACAATGAAATAACAACAAACAAAAATGAATATCAACACGCTGTTTTACTTCTAAAAATTTTATTATAGATTTTGTTTTATTGTATGATAATAGTATTAGTACTATCACTTATAGTACTTTCGTCGTATTTTGGTTTTGAACATTTTCCATATTTTCATAGAATATCCTCTCAATTTATCATTTATTATTACCTAGCTATGCTTCACTCTAACCTGTCCTCAAATAGTAATCCGGTCCTGTGTGTTACAAATATAACTACGATAATATTTTAACCAATTTATTACTCACAGTGAAATGCAAACTAAAAATAGTTTTACAAATATATATCCTTCAGCGACACATTTGTCTTTAGGATGAGTATACGTCACACGGCGTCTTTTCTTCTGCATTCTCTGGTAGCGATTAATTGATTTATTTGTTAACCTTTTCTCAAGGCTCTTTGTTAGTATATTTAGTAGAGAGCGAAATAGAAATACTTACCAGTGATAGGTGTGTACCCTCGGAGGCCGCCAGCCGGCCCTATACGGACGGTGAGGTTAGTAGCTCCGGATATGATCCTTGTTGGCCAGGGTTCTGGACCATTAACATCTAGCTCTGCTAGGCCGACGCACGTATTATCATTCTACAGATAAAAGTAAAAAATTGCAAAGTTAAGATTTTTCTGGGATGCCAGACCGACGTATGTATTATCGTTCTAGAAATGAAAGTAAATAATTGCAATTAAGGATTTTTTTAGAACTGAGAGCAAAAACTTTGATGATGAAGGTTTAAATGAGGTTTTAATTCTACTATTTCACGTTAGACCGCGTCGTATTCTTCGACTTGGCGTACTATTGTCTATTTCAACTATATCATAGGTATAATGTATAATCAGAAAAGAATAAAAGTGAGTATTTATAATCCAACCAGCAAAAACTTTTAGGTGCTACAGGTTGTTTTTTGAGACGTCTTATGTCTTTTAGGGTGATATATTTTTTAACAAATTCAAAATTATTTGTTCACACATACTACAACATTACGACGTACACACTTTCGCATTCTTATATTAGTATAGATTTAGAATTTTTTACACGACTTGTAGGTATTTCGTTAATTATTCATAAGTTTTGATATCAGAAAAAACAAGAAATGATGTCTACCAAAATATGTTTAGTGTTATAATAAACCATATATACCTACTATGATGAACTTTATAAATATTAAAAAAAATAAACTTACTTGAGTACCAAAGTCCAATTGTACATCAGCCCGGGTGGTGTCCATAAAAGAGTGAGCATTCGCTTCGTATCTAGAGTTGAGTGGACCGAAAGCCGCTATAACGGACTGGGACCTCGAGGTAAAAATCTCCTTGTCTCTCGACGACTCCTTGGCAGCGAGTGGTCGCCGGTATGTTATTGTTGTGACACCTCCATTCTGTTTACCGTTCACTGTGAACATTGAAACAAAATATTAGATGATGGACACAAAAACTATACCTACCATATATTTTAAATTGAGAATATGTCATAGGCCTGAGTCGCGGGATCTAATGTCAGTCCACCGCGACTTCAGCAGTGGTCAACTATAGCAGATACCCTTTGGAACCTACTTCTTCCCCTTGGTAAAACTTACCTAGGATAACGTCGTCGGAGCCACCAAGTCGGCTGTCGGGGCACACGCCTCGCGTGCCGTCACACTGCGCCAGATGCGTGATCGAGTAGTCTGCTACTTTTGGTTGGTCGAACCTTCACATCATAATATAAGTTAACATGGCTGGGGGATTGTTAGTAACCCCATAGCTAGCAACGTAGGCTACAATGTAGGGTCAAGTTTACTTAGAAACCATCGCACTAATTTCTGGAGAATTATCAACTGAGTTGACTTCGTCCCCACTCCATCGTTCACCATTGGTGCCGGCATAAGTGAAGTGATGGAATGACGATGCTAATTCATTATTAATCAATTAAAATATCCTATACATACGAGTAGTAGGTACATACAATTACCGTAATTGAGGATTTCCCACTATGGGTACAGTAGTTAAAAATTTTTTGAGTATTTTTGTCAGTTATTAGTAGTTAATATCTACAGTATATATAAAAATAAATATGTAATACCTGCTGTCCCAATACGCAACAACGACATCAGCCCCCAACATAGCCGGTTTGCCCTCCGCGCCTGATATGCCGAATGACATGTATTGCTCCTTGCGTAGTCGAGCTGCTAAAGTTATTTGCACTTGGTCACCCTGGAATAAGAAACATTCTATCATTTACAATCTCTGCTTTTCAGTTGATTACCATAAATAAGAGACTTAGCAGTGCGAAATCTGGTAACAAACTTATGGATTAGATAAATTAAAGAGTGTTTCCGATAGTCCACCAAATATTTTTGTACAGTTCTAAATAGAGAAGAATAAATTTTATCAAGAACTAGGCTTCCGAACTACCTAATATTTTGGTTATTTATTATGAATTACGTGCATGACGCCTATTTTAAGCGTAAAAATATTTTTTTTGTTACTACTATATATTTATTACAAGTACTTTATTCATAATGTTGACCCCTTAGAATTAAGATTTAATGATATCCAGACAAAACATTCTTAAAAACGACACATCAATCTCAATAATACACTAAATCTGAAATATATAAGTTAAATAATTAACATTGTTATAATTTTATTACCTTCACGAATCTCGGGTAACCCGCTTGAATGTGGAAAAATCAATAAACTAATTATTTTTATTTTAGAAATATACTGTTAAATATATTTAAAATTTCAAAATAAGATTCAGTATTCTTATAGAATTATTTAAAGAAGACATTACAAAAGGTATAGAGTAATATAAAATAATAGCATTGATATAAATACGATTAATTTTTATTTAGGTACCACAATGTAAATCTAAATTATGAAAATAAAATTCAAAATTAAAATAATTAATTACACGGGGAGACATAAAAAATCAGATAAATAGGGAGTGGAATTAGTAATGAGAGTTTAAAAGTTGCAAAACGTTTTTGTTGAACAGTATAAGAATAATAAATGGAGTAGTCAGAGGCGTTGTGGTGATCGGAATATTTCACATGTTCACAACATGGCATGGCAAAGAACGAGCCTACCGAGGTTTGTTATCGATACTTCTATCGTCGGAGAGATATTCACAAATATAAATTGTTAAAAAATGTGCCAGGGTGTTACAAACTTTGGAACTGAAATTAGCCACCACTAAAATTATTCAACAAGAAAGTATCATGCTAGACCACGACACTGTCTTGTTGAATAGTATCTAATAAAATAAATACTAAAGATGTATATTTACCTGTATTTCCCATCGGACCTGTAATCTTTTGTCTAATATTTCTTTACAGTTATTTGTCGTACTGTAAGGTGTTTGAGATGTGGTTGAACTTGTCTGTAAAATTTTATGTAATAATTAATTCTAAAAATCATGCACTGATTTAAGTTTTTCATTTAATAACGACAATTGGCACCAATTTTAATTAATGAGTACACATATTTGTGGATTCATATTATTTATAACAAATTCCTAGCTGTTATTTATAACGACGATAGTAAGGATTAATTAAGATTCATTAATTCAAAATCAAAATTAGCATACGAACGTATATATTTTTTTAACTATTATATAAAGTCGGATAAATTTCTTAAAGTTAAGAAATTAATAGGAAAGAATTAAGAAAAAGAGAAAGAAAGCCTTTCTTATTGATTTCTAAATGGTACTCTTACGTGAGTAATACGATAGATACGTATAGTAGGTACCTATATAGATAATAAAAAAAAATTGAGTCCCTATTGCGAAACTATCTATTCTAAAGTTTTTCAGACTGAGTAGAGTTCTAATTGGGTACAAGTCTTTATTTAATATTTTTTGTACAAATGCTAAGTTTTGCCTATTTACAATTCCCCCATGCTGTAAATTGAACTTTTAAAAAATTGAAAAAAAAAAATTAAAATATCAATAGCTGTTTGTTAGAATATAAAAAAAATACGATATTCAAATATATAATTATGAATTATAGTAATTAGTATATGATGTTAAATAAAGAAATGTTTACAGGAATATAAATAAATATAAGTAATAATACGTAATTAAATAATTATACTCACAGGGTTATACCACCAAGCAGGCTGAAAATATTAAGTAAACCGGAATCCCAAGGTAAGCGTAGAAAAAGAATAACACACAAAGCACATAAATATTAACAATTTATTAGTAAGTAACAATTAATACAAATATATTAACAAACGGGCACTTAATTATAAAAAAAAATGTTAAAATCAGTCTTAATGGATACTGAAATTTGGTAAAGAGTAAGTTTTTATGTAGGTATATAAGAAGTCCTAATTTTGAAATATTGTCTTACCTACATACCTACATTTTACAATTAAGAAAGTCATTGATTGTAATTTAAAAAAAAATAGAAACTGATTATTTATTTCGTATAACGAGTAAATCCCAAATTTACTCAAATTTTACTACTCTTTGTTTCGGAGACTCAAAAATTTATAAGTTTGCTTTCACATTTTAAAATATTTAATTGCCAATTCTATGTATTAGAAATACTTTACGTGGGTATTTATTTGAAATTAAAAAAGTCTTTTTTAATATAGCTAAAATCCATAAATCCAATCATAAGAAAACCATGCAGGTATTTCGAAAGGAGGTTTAACAATTATTTTCTGAAATTTGTTAGAACTATGATGCTTTGATGGTTTTTTCCGTCGTCCCTGTAAAGGTTAAATGATTAAAAAATATCTTGGTAGATCCAATGAAAGCTGTAAAAACATATAGAACATTTGATTTTGTTAATGAAGGCAAAAATAATAATATATAAGTAGAACCAAAACCACAAGTTAACCACAAATATTACTCAATGAGAAAAATATGTATATTATAACAGCTTAGATAAAGTTATATACTTTTATGGCAGCAGAAATATTTAAACATATAGTATTATTTTGTTACTAATATAGTAATTTCATTTATTACTAATATGCTAGCATTAATTCTTATTTACAATATAGCTCTTAAACAAGAATCAACAGTTATTTTAATAATTTACATCTAAGGAAACTTTAATGAGATCATTGTATATTTTTATAGTACCTTTTTTTTTTGTTTGTACTAAATTTATACAGTTTAGAAAATCAATTATGCAACAAGGGTGTTCAGGTAAAGTGTCCAATTTACGCTCCTTTTAAGGAACCAAATATTGTACCACAACTTTCTGTTGTTTTTTCATTTTACATAATTTTAAATACATATACTGCTGAGTCTCTGTATAGATCATCTCTTTACTACTACACGAAAGCCTAAACTAGCGTTTGTGGTTTGATCTAATCAATAAAAATAATAAAGATCAGTATAGACTCAGACATTATTTGCATCATAAATGTTTTAATATCGGATGAGCGACATCCTATGGTTTATTTTAAGTAGGATACCTTACCATTTCCTTTATGTATGCTATAAGCTTGTGTGCCATTGAAGTGCAATTAAAAAAATACTCACAGTTATCTTCGTTTGTCCTAAAGCAGGAGGCACATCCAGGTCTTTAGGTATATATACGTGTCCGAAATTGTGCCTGTACTCCACACACCAGACCGCCAGCCAGTCGATGTCGTAAGCTGTCAACTTGCCTGGCAGTTGGATCTCAATGTCCTCACCTTGGTAACCTCGCAGCGGGTGTAAGGAACCCATTTCGTTAGGCACCTAGAAAAATTAAGAGGCATGAAATAATTTTGCTCATGTCAAAAAATATGTTAATGTTACTAATAATTATAAACATGAAAGTTTGTGAATATGGATAGATTAATGGATAGATGTATGTTTGTTACTTTCAAGCAAAAACTACAGTACTTTAGAGTAATATAGAATAGACATTAGAATAACAAATAACTATAAATTTCATGCAGCTGAAACCGCTGGCACAGCTAGTTGTTAATAAATACCTACTAATTACAAATCTAAATAAAATTGGAGTGTCTGTTTTTAATATTACAATATTAAAAAACGGTTATTTCAATAACCGTTTTTTACTACATACCTACATATGAATATAAATACGGTATATAGGTACACCAAAATAACATTTTTTTTACAATTTTCGTCTGTCTGTTTGTTCCATTTCAGAGATTAGCCATCTCTGAAATGGCTGGACCGATTTTAACGGGACTTTTTTTTGGCAGGTGAATGATGTAGGTACTAAGGAGTAACTTAGGCTTCTTTTATTTTAGAAAAATAAAGCTAAATTCCACGCGGACGAAGTCGCGGGAACAGCTAGTAATAAATAAATTTATATCATGTTATATACAGACAGACTTTTGATCACACTAAGTTTTTTATTTCTGTCATTTTTAAATTCAGTCAAATAATATAGACAATCAAAACTACTATTTATCCTTATTGTAGTCCTCATGTACATATTTTAGATTTAACCCTATTTTACAAAACAATTGCTTTCACAAGCATATGATGCTAAAAGATCTTACCACGAAATTAATGATCTAGTTTGATAACAATGATGTGAAACAGTCTTCTCTCGTCATTGTGTGTATATGTAATTGTTAACCTTTCTATCTATTATTATAATAATACACTTTTGAGAGATATCTATATAGTTATAAAGTTCGAAACTAAAAGTAAAGGTTGCGAGTATGATATCGTCATCATCCGGATTATGTCTCGATACATTATCATTTGTAGTAGTCCAGTTATTATTCATTATCATATATTATTTTTGACGCATTTGCAAAAGGCAAAGGATACGTATTACATATGTATAAATCAATGGCGGAAGCTCGTTAGAGGCCTGAGGTGGTAAAACTGAATCAAGTGCTAACTGAGGAATGCAAGATTTAAGTAAAAGCACAGATAATATAATAAAAGTGAAAAGATTACAGTGGTATTTTTGTTGTAATTTATTCATTTTTATGTGATGATAGTTATTATTTATATGTGAACTTCCTACTCCTAACTCCTATGAGGAAAAATTGTAAAGCCTTGTTTAGGATTAGATCAAAGGATATTTAGAGCCTCCCGTTAGCCCGCCACTGGTGAAAAATACACATTTTTAGGTAATGTAATTTTTTATGCTATTTTTGATGGATTACCATTCCAGCATCACAAATATCAGGTAGTCATGTAGCACCAGCGACTCATTTGTTGTACTTTTTAGAGGGTCAAGACTTTATGCTTCTTATCCTGTAATTATACTGCTTCTAAAGCAGACTGGTTGCCTGCTGAAATAGATGTGAACATGAGAGTATGAGAATAAATATCTACTCACTTTTGTTCCAAAAGGAGACGGCTCTGAACCATTCCCAACCCAGAAATAAGCATCAGGTCCGGCTCCGTCATAATGAAGATTCGGTATATAAAAAGTCTTCGCGTCCAGCACACTGATGTTTCCAGAACGCAGTCCATGAGCGAGCCGTTTGAACTCTGGTAAAACACGAGGCCGAGGCGGATCTAGGCCAACTGGTATGAACACATCGCCAAAGTTCACCTGGAATTTAAAAACAAATTATATAAATATAATATATCTATGTGTCTATATTGATTACTTTTATAAAGTACTAGAATTTACCCGCGACTTTGCCTGCATTTTTGAAATAGCCTATGTCCGTCTGTATATTTATTTCCACGTCAAAATTTATAAATCTACATTTAGTCGTAGTAGCATAAAATAGGTAGACAAACAGACACACTTTCATATTTATAATATAACGGGTAATAATTTATGTCTTAAGTATACATAGAGTACTTACGACATACACTACAGAATATATATGTAATTAAAGCACTATTTAAGGTTGCTTTTTTTTAAACTATAATAACCAAGCTCAGCAGAGTTTTTGTTATGAGGCAAAAAACGTAGCCTGCCTGTTGTTACTATAGATTTTAAGGAACTGGAATAGCATGCAAGTTGACGTCCCACATATTGAGAAGTGATACCTGCCGCGAACATATATGAAGAGAATCGTTATTTCCCATCGCTAGTACTTTTCATGCGTTTTTCCCTGCAAAAATCCTATTACGGAGGACTAAGACGTTAATGCTTTGTACCCTGTAACTTCTTTGGTAAATCTCACCTTCCATCTGAATATCAGCTTACAAAGAAGGTGCTTTATGGATTGCCTAAAATGAGTAAGGCAGAGGACATCATACAGACGACTTTGTTGAAAATCTATCATATTGTTTTTTTAGAATCTGTTCCTTCGATTAAATATGCATAATCCAAAACTTACAGATAAATAGATATACAGAGTTACTTATTAAGTTAATGAATTTGTTCCAATAAGGATGTTGGATACCTCGTACTTAAATTACATTCAGCTTAAGAACGAAATAAAACAAAAATAAAGTTCCTTTCGGTTGGTTGTAATAAGTAAATAAAATAAATTCCGGATGCCTGAAAGCCGGTAAATGTCACATTTTGGCGCGAAAATTCGGGCATGCGCGCAGTTTGCAATCGATATATTTGAATTGTCAGGCTTATTTGGGTATGAAACATTAAGTTTAGGTAATGTGTAAGTACATGACTTATTCATCTCCCTACTGTATGTATTATTTATGTATATAACAAGCGAGCAAAATTTAAATATTTGTACATTGATTACCATTGAATTAATGAGAAAAGTTGGCAAATAGCATTAATATGTAGGTAGTACCGTACAAAATAATTAGTAAATTCTTTGTTTAGGAATATACATAATTTTCAATCCTAATTCTAACTTTATATCTAATATATTTTAATTATTTATTACAATAAATAAATAAATGTATATTTTTATTTGTTGATTCAGTTGGTGATACAGAATATTTAGCTCTAATTGCTGAGTCAGTTAAATACAGGTTTCTGTGAAAGAAAAATCGCCACTTACCGTAAATCTTCTACACCAGACGCTTATCCATTTGATATCCCTGAGCCGCTTTCCACCAGGCAACCGCAGCAATATGTCTGAGTTAGTATGTGCCTTCAATATTGGTGGATCTCTGTAATAAAACAATTTAATTTATATAGGTATAACTGATTATGTACAATCTCTTTTGAAAAGAGTAAGAGCAGAGTTGCTCCCCAATTTTTTTTGCGAGGATTACATTCAGAGCTACGGTAGATGTCATATATAACATATCATTAATATAGGTACTTGACAAGATATATTATTTTCATTTAATTTTATAAGTATCAATTACTACCCTTATCTAACATAAGTTATGTTTTGTAGTTACATATCAGTTTCGTGATTTTAGAGAAACGCATGTAGGGACATTTTGTTCAATGGGGTAACTGAAGAATAGGATATAAATTATTACTCCCTTGCATCCCCAGAATATCGTAAGTGACTATGGGGACAGAGCAAATACATCTGTACAGAAACAGACAACACAAATTGATATTTTATAAATCAATAGTCGCATGCCTAAAGGTATTCGTTGTCACTTGTTTGTCACGCTAAATGTCGCATCGCACGTAATGGTTCCTATTTGAGGAATGTAACTATATTTAATAATGGTATACTTTTTAACCTATAATTAAAAAGTATACCATTATTATAGCGTAGATTATTAAGTAATTATTTTTTATTAATCATATAAAAGATCCATTACTAAGGATCCCCTCCACTAGCCCCTTGCTAATAATGTACAATGTATTGGTATATGTTAGATGACGGCCACGCAATCCTCCCTGGAAACCATCGTGGTTAATTCCTGTTTAATTCGTTACAATGGGCTGACTGACTTGCCTTCTTGCTCATCCCATCCATATTTGGTGCACCGCCAACGTTTGCCCTTAGTGCAGGCGAGCGGAGGATTGATGAGAACTATTTTCACAGATTAACCAGAAATAAATCCTTTAATTGGACAAACACGGTTCGAAATTATGATCCTAACTGAAGTTTACCTACTAAAGATAAGCCAACCTAAAACCTTGTTGCCTACATATTACGCTCGTTCCAGCGTAAATATTTTCCGTGGCAGGCTTTTATACAGTCGTCATACATGGGTACCTTTACCATGTTTATTATATGCCACCGAATAGTCGAATTTTTGGCATCACCTTGTTTGCTATTCTAGTTACATTAAAAAAGTAGTAAGATATAATATCTATTCCGTCATACAATATAATATACCGGCTACCTGCATTACATTTACTTAACATTTATCATTATATTTCGCCCAATTTAAAAATCTGTATAAATTTTAGCCTATTTGTTCCTCTATTGTGTAAGCTACATTACTCTTTCATTTAGATGAAACCGTTTAGTAGTTTTTGCGTGAAAGAGTAACAAAAATCCATGCATCCATCACAACTTTTACGTTTATAATATTATTAAGAAGTAAGAGAAATGACTTGCCTTGAATTATAATCCTCGGGGTAGGGTACCAAAGTTCCTTCAGGTGAAGGCTGTGGCGTATCTCCTACCCAGAAGTAAGCATCCGGGCCGGTGCCATCGTAAGCGAAACCGCGTACGAACACCGTGCTCTCATCTACCGCGTACACCGTTCCGCGTATACCATGGGCGTACATAGACAGTCGGCCAATTAAACGCCCGAAGTACGGCTCTGGCCGACGGCCCGTTATCAGTTCTGGAAACAAATAAATATATAGGTAAATAACTTTATTTGCTGAAAAAAACAGATATGTACAGTAAAAAAAAATAATAAAAATTAACATAGCATCAAAATGGATAATTGATAATAATAAATAGGTACCTGTACAAGTAATATGTCTGTGTATTGCTACATATAAAAAAAGATCGCGCGTGACTCCCCATACATACAGATTTTTGGATTCTCATTACCACATTAAAACGCTATGAAGTAAAAAATATACGTTCAATAATTCGCTTAGAAATGTAATATTGTATTATAAAAAATATTTGTTATCCAGAAATCGTTCAACTCTCGACAAAGATTGTGTGCAAATCCTTGGCTTTCTTTTACAGTGATAAAAATAATAAATTTATAAGTTTTACAGGTTTACCTACATAAAACAATATAGGGTTACATTTAGTGTAACAAAACGCTAATGTAATTTTTATATATTTTTAAGTGCACTGCATGGAAATATTTAGTACATTATTATCTCCTCGTAATATACTCGTATTCTTTGTATATTTTGGAACACTTTAAAGGCAAGGACTGAATGTATTTCAATTACAATATCACTTCACATCGCGTGTAGCGGTTATATATAGGCTATTATGAGTTTCAACAATGCAGAAGTCATTACAATAGGCAATGATATAATAAACCTTTTACGAAATATATTTTTCTAAATTTATTATAGTGAATTACTATGGTTGTTCTTGTTCTCTTGTTCTTACGACCATTACCGATATTAATCTTATATACGTTACTTTAACTATGTAATATTATATTATTTGTGCTTTAACGCTATGGAATGATGTTTAAGAATCTCTTCAGCCTTTCATGATCCATTAGATGTTTATTGCATAGTCACTGTGTGTGTTTCTTCTTCTTTTTCTTCACTATTTCTTTAATTTTATTATTGTATATTTATTTTATATGTATGTTAAGTATATATCTATGTTTATATTACGTGTACATATATATATATGATATATTAGTATTATTATTTATTTTTATTTATTCCATTATGCGCCATCCACAACTTTCTGTCTTATTATCTCTACCCAAAGGTTGTCTGATAGAGATCGCTTAAGTGATGAGCCCTTTTGTACCTACATACATGTATATTATGTTTTATTTTGTATTTTTCTTAAAGGTGCCATAAAGAGTTACAAATAAATAAATAAATAGATAACGCCTAAATACAGTTATTGAGAAATATCGAGTAGGAATTCATTCATTTTGACTAATCCGCAAATTAGCAGACAACAATAACGTATGAAGGTGGGTTCCGATTGAATCCATAAAGTAAGATCTCATTATAGCTAACTCTAAAACAGGGGAGATCGCCGACAGTCGCCTGGCAACGTAAGACACTTGTTATGAAATTATATTACTAATATATATTACGATATTGTCAATACAGTGGACTACAGCTTAATATTAACTGTTAGAGTAATTTTTATATAATTGAAAATGTAAAGGAGTTAACTTTACGCTCAATGGAAAGTGGTAACAGCTTCTTAGAGTTTTAAACTATACTTAAGAATATCTGCAATACTTGTATACAGTATTGTATTGTTATCAAAAATATAATACATAATAAATACCAACTCTCATTTTTCACACTAGGACATAGCTTGCTAACTAATAGAATAGGTGAAGCTAATTTTTCAGTGTATTTTTTTTGTAAAAAAGCATTATATTGTTTTTACATAGCTTATACATATTACATAGTTTATACAAGCATTGGCATAAACTGATTAACCCATAATAAAACGTAAAAACCAAACCCTTTTAATACAAATAAAGGCGCTAAACGGAAGACGACATATAATAATAATGATATTGCTGTAATTGTCTAATTTTAATTTTCGTTTTCTTAGTGGATAAGGATTTTTTAAAATTCTCTAAGGAGCGGGAGATAATATATTACTACAGACGCATCTGGTAAAATTAGTGTAATTTAGTTTACATTCATACAATTCACTAATTTATATTATTGTTTAATGGCACTTACAGTGGACATAATTAGAACTTAAACAGTTCTCTGGTAAACTAAAAATAAAATAAAAAACAAAACTAGCTATTATAAAATATATATCTCGAAGAAAGCAATAATATTAGACATAACTCTTGTCGAAAATATCGTAAGCAAGCCGTCAACGATGGCATATAATGCGATGTGACAATAATTTCCGACTAAGGGGAACAATTCTATTCAACCACCACCAAATGACACAAACGACTTTATACACCAATTCATACTGAACGTTAATGTCCAAAGGACACGACCTAAATTGCTCTGACTTTTTACAACCCTGAATTTTATTTTTTAGGAAGTAATAAGCTTGAAAGCAACATCGATCACGCCGAAAGGGAAAATCAAGGGAAATAGTTTAAAAATACCTACGCCCTCGTTTTCTTTACTGTTTAAAAATGTAGTGTAATAACAAATTAATTGAAAATATTAACAAAAGAAAAAAGAAAGACCATTGTAGACATTATTCTGAGATTATAAAAAATTGTACATCTCAAACAGTGTGATTAAAAGAATAGAATATAGAGAAATAAAATCCATGTTACCTTTTTTAAATAGAATCTAAGAAGTATAGTAAATTGTTTTTTTTTGATAGAATAAAAACATGTATTATACCAACCTATTCACAATTGTATATGGTTTCTAATAAAAACATCTATACTAATTCTTTTTATTATTATAATTCTTTTATTCAATAATAATATATTATGACACTACTTCCAATACGGGCGGAGCAGCATTGATTGTTTTTAAACAGTGATAATGTGATACAGACGAATTACCTTAGTTACCCTGAACTGACGTAGGTTAGTTAAGTTAGATCCGTCGGTTGAATATAATCAGTTAATTGACTTCTTCATTATTAAACTACCTCATAAAACACATAAACTAAACGCCAACCTAATTCATGCATTTCCTTGAAGCTTTGATAATGACCGGGGCGGAGTACCTATCTCGCAACGCGGCACTGCGCGGTGGCGCGCACCCTGCCTCGTATTTATCTAATATCCTAAACGGAACCCAGCCCCATTAAGGGATATTTTGATTGACATGCTCGCCCCTGAGATTTTGCGACGCTAGGGGGTTTATAGGGTTGACGACCTGCGTCGTTAATTTTCAAATACCTCAATAATCTGAAGGTTCTTCGAAAACAAAAAGTAATGTAGTATTCAAAGTGTTAACGTTTTATTTTACACTGTAAATTTTATCAGTTAATATATTGATAAATAATCTTATAGTCTATTTAATGAGAATTCTTTACTGTACACTTAAAAGTACACTTAATATCCATATTTCGCTGAGATTATTCTAACCCAACATTGCAAAGGTAAAGTGTCTCCCAGTTTCATTTGGTGAGATTGAGATACAGATATTATAATGATTTTTATATTAACATATTGAATAGGTATTTCATAATTTTGCTAATATTTACCTAACTAAATTATAAGGAAAGATTATTTATAGTAACTCTTGTAGATTCAAATAAAAAAGAGGAAAATATGGCATATCTACTGTTGATAGCATTTATAATAATAATAAATTTGTCGTCTGTCAGTCCGTCAGTCTGTTATGTTTTATTTTTTGTACAAAATAATATTAAAATTAAAGCAATATCCCGATGTTTATCAGAGACAAATACTCATATCCATTTAACTAAATCTACGCAATTCGGAAATCGAAGTCTCTTATCGAATTACCAAAACCGTCAAAAACACGATAAGTCCGTCGATTTGGACCACCAACCCTAACTCTCCCTACCGTCTACACTGCAACAGGGGCGCCCCAACTCGTCTAATGCGTATCTACGCTTAATACAGTTTTGTCTCGGCATTTTGATACTCATTTGTTATAACAAGGTATAAGGTACACGTATGAGGAAAGCGTAGGTGTAGATTGATTTCTTGTAACAAACTAAACTTGAAAGAATGCGTAAATAAGAAAAAAAAATGTTTTACATGGTATGCCAAACAAATAAGGACATTTTGTTTAAAGTAATAACCGTTGTCTATATACATGAACAGCATTACATACTAATGTGATTCAATCTCAACGTACGACATACAGATACCACGGACGTCATGCGTTGCGATTTCTAAGGACTGGGCATGTTTTCGTATTCCGTAAGCATACTGTCATATCTGAATCCACAGCTCATAACTATGCGAATTGCCGGTAGAAATAGACACGGATGATTTTGAACAAAGTCTACTCCAGAGGACTTTGTATATTCCTGCTAATTCTTATGTGAATAAGAATTAGGATGTAACCTTAACCTTAACCTTAGGGATGTAAAAGAGTAAACTCATTGTATATTCTTATGATTCTTATTTTTTTTAATAAAATTATATAAATACATAATATTCATTTATGGAATTATTGTCCGTATTTGACTATTTTTCAATAAATTCGTATTCCATAGTCATAGTTTTCCCCGTTCGTGACAGCAACGTATTTAAAGCGTTATGTAATTGATGGATCCCTAGTCGTATCAACGTTATTATCAATTCAACCTACTATCAATAATGGGAGGGTATAAATTGAATGACTTTTTATGTAGTGCGATTTTTATATTATTATGTAATGACGAATTTAAAAAACCTCGATGTTCAACAATACCATCTACCCTAGGAACAGTTGTACAAATTGTCATCGATACGTAAATAAACTGTCAAAAATAGTTTTCATAATATTTCAAACTATGTACTTTAAATAAATATTTACGTTTCAGGAATGAGTACTTAAACTTTCGCTAGATTTCGCTTTGTAGCTATCGCTATTTCTAATTTTCGCCAATAGAAGACACATGACGTCAAGCCGCCACCTAGAATATTATTAGTATCCCCCAGTCCTCAAAACATGACAATATCACGAGGGGATTGAAAGTTCGTATGATAAGTAGGGTACGGTTACCTCATGAAATGCCCGACGTTTGAATTTTCACATTAGGAATGGT